CCATAAATCTATACGAGGCTTAATTTAATGGTGAAAATTGTCCAGTAACCATAAAATATATCTGAAACATTCAAAAAATTTTGAATAACATTGAAAATATGAGTCACAATTCAGTTTTGAGATTTTTTGATCAGCAATTTTTTATTTTTATTTTAAAGGTGATATATATGTATGTATATAAGTGTTGATGAATATGGTGATGAAGTTATATTATGTTTATTGTGAAATTTTGGTTTCAATGCTATATTGAATACATTTTTAATTTCAAATTGTTGTTCAAATTTCTAGCCAGGGGAAATAGCTGTTGTTAAAAACAGTTCCTAAATTGATGAAATACAATAGATAGATACAAAGTATAGGTCTAGTTTGGTTAAGACTTGGTCGAGTATGGTTCAGACTAGGTCGAGTATGGTTCAGACTAGGTCGAGTATGGTTCAGACTAAGTCGAGCATGGTTCAGACTAGGTCGAGCATGGTTCAGACGCGTATAAAATGGTTAAGTACTGGTCGAGTAAGGGTCGAGTACAAGTTCAGACTGTTAAGTATGGTTCAGACTACAGTCGAGTATTATCAAGTAAATTTCAGACCAATTCAGACTGGTCGAGTAAAAATCAGTACAGTCGAGTACAGATATAGGTCATTTCAGACTTTTACTGGTTTGTAGTGATAGCTCGTTGGAAGGTAGCAGGAGCATTACAAAGTCCCATTCAATCCACCATTTTCTACATTTGAAAATGCCTGTACCAAGTTAGGAATATGACAGTTGTTGTCCATTCGTCTGATGTGTTTTGTCATTTGATTTTGCCATGTGATTAGGGACTTTCCGATTGAATTTTCCTCGGAGTTCAGTATTTTTGTGATTTTACTTTTTCCCATTCGCGTGTGCTCGAATAATCCATAGCGTGTTATGAATGCTGTTTTCTTCTGGTCTGACTCCTCTAGTTCTATTTGATAATATCTGCTGGCAAGGTCCAGCGTGAAAAAAGGTTGTTGCGCCTTGCAAAGAGTTCAAACAATTTTCAATGATGGGTAATGGAAAACAATCTTTCACCGTCCTATTATTCAAGGCCCTATAATAGACGCACCATCTAACAGATCCGTCACGTTTTCTTACAAGTACAGGGACTGAATACCATTCCGATGTAGAGGGCTGTATAACACCTGCAGGCAACAACTTAGTCAGATATTCTTGTTCCACATCCTTGAATCCCAGTGGTGTGCAACGCATTCTATGTTTGACTGGCGTTGAATCTTTTGTGTCAATTTTATGCTTGACCGCAGTTAAACATCCAAATCGTGTTTTGAAAAAACGCGTCCTCAAATTCTATCAACAATGACCGTAATGTAGATATCTGATCGTCTTTCAAATTTGTGATAGAACGATCGTATAAATCTTGCAGATGACCTGGTAACGGCATATCAGACAGCTTATTTTCCTGATCATAAAAATTCGCTGGTGGAATATGCACTTCCTTTATGTTATAGGCATCCTTGGTGAACGAGTTGTCATCTATAATTTCATCTACTGGTTCAGCGTAGCCCAAACAAGATCCTTTCTTTATTCTAACGTTAAGTCCAGTATCATTGACAATGTTTAAAATGCATTTTGGTCCAGCCCCCATGACGTTGGATATTAAGACAGGCAAATGGTTACGTTTTGGGACGATCACATAGTGGTCCTCAGGTGGTGATTTGACTTCCACTGTTATGAGCATACTTGAATTTGGAGGGACTTTAACAGATCGAGACAATAGAACTTCTGACAAAGACTGGCTGTTTCCGCCGACTAGTTGTGCAGGTATGGATTCTCCATTTAAAACAACAGACATGTGCACCAAGTCAACCACAGCGCTGCATGCATTCAGGAAATCTAGTCCAAGTATGATGGTATCGGTCATACCTATAACACACACGTTCCATTGCATAGTAGGATGTCCTATAAAAAAAGCAGTGTTTGTAACGAGTTTACCAATAACTGGTTGAGGTCCTATTCCTTTTAAAAGTAGAAATGCTAATTAAAGTAACCATAGCAGCAGTGTCAATGGTAGCCTTGACTGGTATGGCTGCAGGTATAACTAAACTTCTACCAACAGTTCTTCTCACAACCAGCTCATTAAGGCTCTCTTCTTCCTGTGTCAGACGAGAGCGCAGTGGCCTGACCCTGTCCGGTTTAAAGACTGGTCTGTTGGTGAGTACGAGGACGAGGTCCTCTGAAAAGACGGTGATATTGCCCTTCTGAATGGCATGTTGTCCAGTTCTTTACTTGACATTGAACCTCTTTGTACACGTAATGACGGGGGGCATGAGTTCTGAGGACTCCGGAATTTCGATTGTGACCTCGGTGGGGTTGGTGATCGGACATAATTGATTTGAGGGCGCCTTGAGGGCGAGTTGGAATATTCCTTTTGCATCTCGGGAGATGATGATCGGTTACTCCTTCCATCTTTTAATAATTGGCCAAGTAGAGATACTAAGTCTTTAATATCAGATTGTAAAGAGTTATCTACTTTTTCAATCTTCTGACTGTGTTTCAAGGCCGTGAGCCTCTGTAGAGAATGATCAGAGTCTATTTGATCTATTATGTCATTGTTACTCGGTAATACCTATCCATTGTCAAGAAATAACCTCGCTCTGCGTATTCCTCTATGGTCTCTCCGTCCAACTGCCTGATGTATTGCAGCTGTCTTCTTGCATCTTCGGCAGTTGTGGACTTTTGCTCCTTTCTCTGGCATGGGACTACTGGATGATTCCCTGTCCATCGAATCCTTACTTGATGAAGAGGATTCCCTCTGGCAGCGCTTTCTATCCCTGCCCCTGTGTCTTTCAGGTGTGGTTTCACTGTTGGTCTGAACAGAAGTGTTGTTCACAGACTGTACATGGAAAGGCATAACTACTGGAGTATTCCAATGTACTGGGATTGAAGGAATATTTGAAGTTTCTTTATTTGATCCAGGATAGAAAACTGCATCAGACGGTACAGTTGATCAAACAGTATGTTGTACTCCCGGTGGTGGAACACTGTACGACCAAAATGTTGGCTTATTAGGTATTGCGGAACCTTGAACTATAATTGGGTTATAAGATGACGATGGGGCCAAATTCCCCTGTCCAACGTAGCCCTGCGATACATTTTGGTTCGTTTCATGAGTTGAAGTATGGTAATGACCTTCAGTATTTGAGGATATTGGTGGAACCAAAGGCCCCTGTCCATTTTTAGACTGACTGTCCAATTGTCCTTGCTTAGTGAAGCTTGTTTCTGACTGCACTTCCATAGTTGACTGAACAGGCATAATGTTAGAAATAACAAAAGGGGGCGCCGAGGGCCCCTGTCCTACAGGAAATTCAGTGTTGGTTTTCTCGTGGTTTTGGTTAGCCGCTTCAGATGCAGTACTCACTTTCAGAGTGGACGCTGCTGATGCATACATATCGTCCTGGAGACTAGTGTTGATAGTGTATGACTCACCTAAACTAGAAAGTCCAGTTGGTTTAGTGATAGGTGACACCTTGGAAAAGTCTGGATATGTTGTTGAACTAGCTGGGGTACTAAATGTCTGAGGTTTAGTTCCAAATTTTTCCTCAATCTGCTAGTTTTTCTGGCTATCAAAGTGCCAATTGTAGAACCTAAATCACCAAATTGCTCCTCTGATTGTTCAGCCTGTTCATGATGTTCATCCTGCAATATTGGCAGTGGGTTTTTAATCTGGATGGTTGAGTTTGCTCCATTTTAGTCATGCGAACACATAAATCATCAACCTTTTCTTTCATGCTGTCAATTTGTGAGGCTTTCTTATCTACCTCTTGAAGTCCTGATGTGACATTAGAAATATCCTGCTTGAGTCTCTGCCTATTGTCTTTTTTTCCTTAAAATTAGTGTTCGTTGATTGTCGGTGTGTTATCTCAAACTGTACTGTAGTTCACCGTTGATAAGTGTCGTGAATATGTTCTCTATGACAGTACTGCACTTTTGCCCGAATTTTTTAGTTATTTTTTTTACGAAAATTCGAATGATTTTATGTATCAAATTCTATTTCAATATCAACGCACTCACGATTAGTGTGTATATGAGACAAGTGGTTTGGCTCAAATGAACCTTTTACTGCACGAAAATCGGAAAAGAAAAACTTATCTCTAGAGTTGTCTCCCATTTTCGGTTAACCGTAACTTTACGTTACGACCATCCGCTTACCACCAGTGATACATACTGTACATATTATCGTTGTTTTTCTCGTTTGTTCTGAATTGACGATATTAAATGTCAGCTACATGTATTTAAATACATTTTTGTACATAATAAGCTGCAAACTGGTTTTGGTACATGTACCTATACATGTAATTTAACAAAAATAACATTGCAACATAAAAGTTGCATGTACAATCAAAGAAAAAAACGTTATGCAATAGACTTGAATTTCGTTGCAAAATAAGTAGGTCTGTTACTGTATATGACATTGTGTGCGTCACAAGGCATAAATCTTCTCTTACTTTTTAAAATCTATTTTACATAATAACGCATTGCATATTTTTGCTTCAAAACTGAAAAAAAGAAAGTGAAAATTGTTATATAGTCTACTTCCGGTTTAGCTTATGTTCTTCTATGCATAACAAATTATAAATTTAACAATGGTACAAGAACCATTTAGACGTTATAAATGGTTATTTAATTTTCATAATAATTTCTTATTTGGAAAAATTAGTCTATACTTCTCAAAATACTGTATTGGTTTTTCTCAACAATTGTGAGAATATACTTATATATGCATAAAAAATGTTTCAATTTTAACAACGTCGATAATGAAATATTTCATGTAATAAATTTTAAACAATTTATGACAATTAAAAACCTGATCTGGGGTATTGTTTGTCAATTTTTCTTCAATTGTTTCAAATCAATTGTTAATGTTAAAACAATATTTTATGGTTCATTGGTTAACAGTTGATTGTTTTAAACAAAAATGGCGACAGTTATAATTCAGTTTTGTAATCGTTGTGAAAAATGAAATATTTAAAGCTATGTAAGAAGTGTCTACAGTATTTATGTAGTGATTGAAAGCGTGAACATTTCTGTGGAGTTACTACAACACCTACAACAATCTATAGTTCTAGTGAACACTTGATAAAGAGCATCGATAATAAACCATTCCAATGTCGCACTCATCTGAAGCAAGTCGTCCGTTTTTGTTTTACTTGCACTCTCCAGCTGTGCGAGGAATGTCTAGATAACGATCTTTCTCAGCATACAAATCACGTGATATACAACGTAGATAACGCTGCTAAAGAGATACGAAGACAAACAGATGAAAAAATCGCATCACTTAAAGTTAAGATAGAAAAGGCTAGAAGGCAAAGACATGACCTTGATAAACAAAGGTTCAGTTCAACAGACAGACAGAATACTAGACGACAGGTCACAAACCTCGCCTCTAATCTTCCTTCCGCCATAGTCGCCGCTATTGAAGACCAGGCACGATTAGATAAAACAGTAGCTGCCGAAAGTGAACAAAGCTTCAGAAGACTATTGATGTTTGGACGGAAACCAATCGTACACTACATAAAATTTCTACAGCACCTCACAACCTAGAAAATATCCATCTTTTCTGTAAATATATAAAAGATTATGAAAATTTAGATTTACCTTTTATAAAGACAAGAGCTGATTTTCCTGATGATAGAAAATTCCAACACTCAGAACTTGTCCAAACCGAGTTAAGATCATTAGTGGAATACTTAGAAGCATTGTAAGTATGAGCTGCATGTAACGTGAAAATGTAATTTAAACATAAGGTGTAATAATTTAATTTTGGATGTAACGCGTCTTCTGATTGGCTGACGTTGTTTTGTTTATCAGTTCATAGACATAATTTTGTCATGTGACCGTGACGTCATCAACGTTTTTTCATGGTTTACTCCGGTTTAAAATGGAATTTAGAATTAAATTATAATAAATGACTGTAAAATTTTTTCTGTCTATTCGAAATAACATAAAAAATGTGGTGCAAACTTTAAAATAACCCGCTACGCGGGTTATTCAGTGTGCACCACATTTTTTATGTTATTTCTTCATAGACAGAAAAAATATTACAGTCATTCCTTAAATACATTAAACAATTGCATTTTTTCATATTAAATACAACAACCATAAATAGTCTGAAGTCAATCGTATGTATAGTACTGGTACATGTCAATTGTGATTAAAAAAAAATCCAAATGACATTCCTATTTAAATTCATTGTATCAACGATATAAGAAAAAGATACATAAAAAAATCAACTTCAATTTTATAAATTAAAATACATTCTACTCAAATTTAGTCAGGTTTCGGGACCATAAATCAATGAACTGCAGATACTCGAAATTTCGAATAAAAATATACATAAAGCAACTCATGCCATTTGCAAAAATATCAGATACCATGGAATTTTTGTATATCATGGGTGGTTTTCTTACATTGTACATCATATTGTAAACGGGAGTTTTAACATTAGTTAGTTTCAAAATCCACTCTCCCCTTTTAATTAAAAGAACAATAGTTTGAAAATCAAACTAAACACTACAAAAACAAAATAAACCTCAAAGAATTTATGTAAAGAAGATTTTTCCCTTTGATATCAGTTATGTACCTACTTGGTAGTACTTAAAACCAACACTGCTTACCCAAAAGGCTCTTTTAATTTTTCTGTTTTATTTTAAATAAAGGTTGATTTCTGAATGACGAGCTTGCTGTTAGCCAATCAAAATAACGTATTATAACGAATAAAATTGAGAATGGAAAAGGGGAATATGTCAAAGAGACAACAACCCAATCAAAGAGCAGATAATAGCCGAAGGCCAGCAATGGGTCTTCAATCCAGCGATAAAAATATCGCACCTGGAGGTGGGCCTCAGCTGGTCCCTAAATAAAATTTGTTTAGTGTTCAGAGTTTGGTGAAAATGGACGTCATACTAAACTCCAAAAACTAAAAATTATCATTTAAAACGTATGAAAACATTTTTCTAATCTGAATCTTCGTCCCACATAAGTTTTAATTCAAATACAAAGAAACAACAACATTGTATGTATAACGGAGTCAAGTTCAGATGAAGAAACACATAGGCAAATACATGTATTAATTCATATCCCCACAATTGTAATCGAGGTGACATAGTATAGATATAAATAGACAAAGAAAACAATTTTACATTCTGTTTTAAAGAAATGTTTTTTGGGGATAACGTATGGGACTAACCATTCCACAATACAAACAGTTACTTCATTTGTAGTTTATGAATAAAGTCTTTTTAGGTCTTTCCACTTTTCTGTGGAAAGACCTATTGGTTTTCTTCTGATTATTAGGTCTTTCCACTTTTCTGTGGAAAGACCTATTGGTTTTCTTCTGATTATTATTATTAGGTCTTTCCACTTTTCTGTGGAAAGACCTATTGGTTTTCTTCTGATTATTAGGTCTTTCCACTTTTCTGTGGAAAGACCTATTGGTTTTCTTCTGATTATTTATTTTTTTTTCTTCCGCCAAATTTTGTTCTTGCGATACATTTTTGTTTCCCAAGATGTCGCTTAGATGTTTCGTATATGATATCGAACAGTTTATGTGCCTTTGAAATTGACCCTGCTTAACCGAATACTTTTCTCTGTAGGAGTTATCTCCCCGAACACTGTTTTCCTTGTGCGTGCATCTCCTCCGTAACCTTAAAAGAAAGCGACAAATTTATTTTACCAAATTGCTCGTTATATCCTCAGGATGTTTTGTCCAATTTTGACCGAAGCGATACGTAAACTCCATATGAGAGTTATTTCCCCTTCTGTATTTGACATAAGGTATATATAAATGTATAGCATGAATGGTAAGTGATAGAAACCTAAGGTATATTGATTTGAGTTCCTTGGTTCATTTAAATGAAATTGAGGCCAAGGTCAAAGGTCAAGGTCATATTCTAAATTTTGACTTTTCCTTGTTATTTGATCTCCTCTGTCACTTTAAGAATAACAAATTAAAGAACTAGTGCAAAATGTTTGCTTAATTGTGATTAAGATATGATACATTTGGTCTGAAACAATCCAATGATATCTTATAGGAGTAATTGTCCCTGAAATGATCCAATTTAAGGTTAATTGATTATTACTCCAACTTGGTACATGATAAAGCCATAGGGTCTTTTGCAAACTGTTGGTTAACATATGACCTTGAAAAAAGTATATCGGAAGTGACCTTGAGTGAACCGGAAGTAGTATTTTTTGCACTTATTTCATGGAAAAGTACCTAGAAACCATATATTTTTTGAATGATCATAGATTAACCTATCATTTGAGACCGGAAGTGACATTTTATATACCGAAAGTAGCAAATCATCTTCCTTATTACAGGCATAGGTATATACAAACTATATATTTTTTGAATCAGTGTGAATAAAGCTATCATATGAGACCGGAAGTGACATTTTCTAAACCGGAAGTTGGCAATTATCTCCCATATTTCAGGCAAAAGTTAACTCGAATAATTCTGCGCCCTCTAGCGGCCTATAGCCTATCGAGGGCTTGAAGGCATACAGTGCAAATATCTCGTCAGTCGTTCCCTGTAAGAGGGAACCAATCAGTGAACTCAACCTTTCGATTTTGCGCGCTTACAACTTCCTGTAACTTTTAATGCGGGTATTTCAAAACAAACATGGATGCTGACCAATCACTTCAAATAATACAAGATAGATACGACTTTATATTCAAAGAAAAACAACTAGATTCTGTCAAATCCATCCTGAAAAACAAGGATTGTTTCATTGTATTGCCAACTGGATATGGAAAATCCCGCATTTACTTCCATTTACCAGAGCTATTTGAGATGACAACAACGAAGAAATCGTCAATTCTGGTTATATCACCGTTACAAGCCCTCATGTTAGATCAGATGAAAAAGCTTCAAGACATGGGTATAACAGCCACAGTTGTAGGAGAATGTCAAAAAGATAAAGGTTAATATATTGTAATTTCGATTTACTGAGAGGGTTGGCCTTAATTAGTTAGAGAATCCGTCATTAAAAAAAGGGGGAAGGTTGATGTTTTTTTTTATCTCATAAATTAGTCATAATATTTACTAGAATGATATTATATTTAAAAAAATTATGTTGAAATTTTATCATGAATATTGAAACTGAACTTCCAAGTTAACTGATATGCATATTAATTAATATAAATACCTCAATTGGTAAACAAAAGCTCATCATTATTACCAAGACTGGCAAGACTGTCTTTCTCTTTCATATCAGAGTTTTTAAACACAGGGACTCGGTTAGCAGATTAAAATTTTGTTAATCAATGTTTTTTATATTTTTTTTTAGTATTTCCTGTCTATTTGTATTACTTTATTAACATATTTGACGATGACATCGATATTTCTTTATTTTCTAGCAATGTGCAGTTTTCTATCCATATCCGTATACAGAAAAATCTATCGATATTTCTTTGTTTTCTAGCAATGTGCAGTTTTCTATCCATATCTGTATACTGAAAAATCCTAATCTGCTAACCGAGTCCCTGTGTGTTTAAATATATTTATAAAAGATAGTTTTATAAAGCAATATAATAATCTGTTACTTTTCATTCATGTCAATTACTATTTATTTATTTTAATATTTGCAACAGGTCTCAACCATTTCTTGTTAATGATTATAAAAAGATGAGGTATGATTACCAATGAGACAACTCTCGACAAGAGACCAAATGATACAGAAATTAACAACTAGGTCACCATACTGCCTTCAACAATGAGCAAAGCCCATACCGAATAGTCAGCTATAAAAGACCCGAAAATGACAATGTAAAACAATTCAAACGAGAAAACTAACGGCCTAATTAATGTACAAAAAATGAGTTTGTGCAAATAAGATATATTATATAATATGTATTTTTATTGTGTTATTTTTTCATTCTGAAATTTTTTATTTCCCTTATGTGTTGTATGTACATTTTTTGGCTAAAGTTCAAAATTTTTGTTTTACAGGTGTGGCTGATAGAATATCTGCAGGAGATTACTCTATAGTTTTTTCATCCCCTGAGGCTGCACTCCTGCCAGGTTTATGGAGAAGAAGTCTTACAAGTGGAAATTTCAACACTGCTGTAAAAGCTGTAATCATAGATGAGGCCCACTGTATAACTGAATGGTGAGGACAGTTTCTAGTTGCATGTATACACAGTGACACCAGAATTTAATATTTTCAGAATTATTTTCCTCTATTGTTTTTGTCATTTAATTTAAATTGGGGCCATCTTAAAAGTATTAAGGTCCTTAAAAGGCTATTTCAGTACTATTCAAATAAACTCATAGATACATGTACCAGGATTGAAATTTTATATTTACACCAGACGCGCTTTTCGTCTACAAAAGACTCATCAGTGATGCTCGAATAAAAAAATGTTTAAAAAGCCAAATAAAGTACTAGAGATTAACTTTTTTACATCAAATTCTTCAAACAAAAAAAGCTGAAAAGGATTTCTGTGTATTTGAATAAAATGGGATATACAGCTAACTGCCGTTTATTTACTTTCAACTTACTTTTATTTTCTTTTTATCTTAACAATTTTTTATTTCACTATCTATATTTATTGATAATGTTGCCATAACAACCATTATTGTAACATTTACTTCCGTCTTTTGTGGCGGCATAAAAATGAGTTTTATTAATCTTGGCAGGTTAGTAAAAATTGTAAAGATATAGTTTTTGTTTACCTTTATACTTTTTTTTGTGATATGTCATGATCAGAAGTCAGTAGATAATATTTGTAATTGTCCTTTCAGAGGTGCTGAATTCAGACAAGAATATTCCATGCTAGACGAGTTGAGATCTATTTTTCCTGAGAAAACACCATTTGTTGCTCTAACAGCAACTGCAACCAAAGAAATGAAACTTGAAATTCTGAAAAAACTCAACATGAACCAAGACAGGACAGATACAATATGGATGCTTCCTGAAAGACCTAATTTAACGTACGTTGTTAAGAAAACCACTAAACAAATGAGCGACTTGCAATGGATATTGGATGATATAAAGGTGAAAGAAGGAAAGGCTAAAAAGACCATTGTCTATTGTCGTAACATAAGTTCATGTGCAGCATTATATGAATACTTTTTCTATGAACTTCCAGAAAGTGCAGATGATGTTCACAGTAGACGCATTGCCATGTTTCATCGTTCTACAGCTGAAACAAACAAAGTGCATGTTATGTCTGAATTTCCCAAGATAGATAGCAAAGTACGTGTTGTGTTTGCAACAATTGCATTTGGAATGGGTGTTGACATTGCAGATGTTGAGCAGATTATCCACTGGGGTGCTCCTCGTGGACTAGAACAATTCACTCAGGAGAGTGGTCGAGCAGGTCGAGACGGAAGACATGCATTGTCAGTTGTTTATTATTCAAGTTTTGACATTTCCAAAGGCAGGTGTAAAGAAAGTGTAGTTGATTTTTGCAAGAAAGTGAAATGTTGCAAAGAAATTTTGAGTGACTACTTTAGTCTAGACAATAAGCCACACCGCAGCACAACAAAGACTTGTAAATGTTGCTCATTCTGCAAAGCAAACTGTGAATGTGGGTCTTGTGATAGATTAGACTTTATTCATAATATTGCCTCGACACAGCAACAATATAAATTACAAGATGAAGATGCTGATCTACACAGACATATCAGTGACAATGAAAGCATTCTCCTGAAAGAGAACTTGCTCGATTTTTTGAGTATACTTGAAGATGAGGATGCACCAGGCTGCACATATCTCAACGACTCAGCAATCAATGAAATCGTTCGTAACGCGCCTTATCTTTACTGTGAAGAAGACATAATTTCACTTGGTGTTGGTGATATTGAACTTGCCAGAGAAATACTTTTGTTGATTGAAGAAATTGTCTAATAAAATTTATTAAATATTCCACAATCTCCATTCAATAATGTATGTCATTATATAAAAATAAGGTATGACTGCCAATGATTAGACTCTCCACCCGACACCAAATAACATAGAAGTAAACAACTAGAGATCGCTGTAGGGTCTTCAACAATGTGCAAAACCTATACTCCATAGTAAGCTTTTACGGCCCCATAATGACAAATGTAAAACAATACAAACTATAAATTCAGAAAACCTAGCTGCCTGATTTGTATACAACAGAATGAATGAAATTAAAACAAGTTTATATTCAACAACAAACCACAACCACTGAAACTGCCAGCCTTTCCAAAGCAAGAAGTAGAGCTCGGTCATATTCTTCAATGATCTTTTGTTAATACATGTATGTTCTATTGTCTCTGGACCATTAAAAATCCATTAACGAGATCCTGATGCATTGATTTTTGTTTGCTTTATAATGTCCAGTAGCAATATATAGTGTTGCATATTCATGACAATTAATCCCATTTGAGTAATTTTTGTCGAGACTGCGACTTTTGTCGCAGAAAGCTCGACATAGGGATAGTGATCCGGCCGCAGCGTTAGCTTACTTCTTAAAAGCTTAATATTTTAGAAGGTGGAAGATCTGGATGCTTCATACTATGTATATGGATGCCTCATGTTACGAAGTTTCCGTCAGTCACATGTCCAATGTCCTTGACCTCAGTTTCATGGTTCAGTGACTACTTGAAAAAAAAGTTAAGATCTCTTATTATAAGTAATAGGATAACTATATTTGGTATGTGCGTACCTTGCAAGGTCCTTATGCCCGTCAGACAGTTTTCACTTGACCTCGACCTCATTTCATGGATCAGTGAACAAGGTTAAGTTTTGGTGGTCAAGTCCATATCTCAGATACTATAAGCAATAGGTCTAGTATATTCGGTATATGGAAGGACTGTAAGGTGTACATGTCCAACTGGCAGGTGTCATCTGACCTTGACCTCATTTTCATGGTTCAGTGGTTATAGTTAAGTTTTTGTGTTTTGGTCTGTTTTTCTTATACTGTATGTAATAGGTCTACTATATTTGGTGTATGGAATGATTGTAAGGTGTACATGTCTAGCTGGCAGGTGTCATCTGACCTTGACCTCATTTTCATGGTTCAGTGGTCAAAGTTAAGTTTTTGAGTTTTGGTCTTTTTTTCTAATACTATATGCAATAGTTCAACTATATTTGGTGTATGGAAATATTTTATGATCTATATGTCAGTCACGCAGGTTTTTTTTACCTTGACCTCATTTCCAAGGTTCATTGCTCAGTGTTAAGTTTTTGTGTTTCGGTCTGTTTTTCTTAAACTATAAGCAATAGGTCAACTATATTTGTTGTATGGAAGAATTGTTAGCTGTCCATGCCTGCCTAGCATGGTTCATCTGACCTTGACCTCATTTTCATGGTTCATTGGTCAATGTTGAGTTTACTTGGTTAATGTTAAGTTTATGTGACAGTTGTAATAAAGCTTTATATTTAGGACTATCAACATAATATCAATGATAAGTAAAGAAGACGAGACATTTCAGCGTGTGCACTCTTGTTATACTTCTACCTATACCAGCATACTGTTCAGGGGCAACTATTTCATGCATACTTAGGTCAAGTTTAAATTTATAGCATTATTCTTTGTTTTTTGATTTTCTTTGAAATTTCTTGGTGAAACTATATATACAATATTGATTCAGACTTATTTGTCCAGTTAAGTTATCCAATGAGTGCACATGTACATTTACTGGTTCCAGTTTCATTCAATTGGCATGATTGGGACTTTCACGGATTCTGAAACAATTATTTGAATGTGATAAACAGTACGTTATGGAGTGTGTAGTATTTTGGTAGCATATAGGACGAAAATTAAATCTTATTTCATTGAGAATTATTCAATAATTTCTTTTCATCTTTGTAACTGTTCTCAATTTTTACTACTAAAAGTAGAGCAATATAGAATGTAGGACAATATAAATATGGTATACTATATTGATGTATGAATGTATAGCATATTTATATTTAAATAAATTGGTTTTTTATTGTTGTACAGTGCAGGTGACATGTTTTTGTTCAAATCCTTGGTCTTTAGACAATAAAGTTGTCTTATTGGAAATCCACACATTCATTCACGTTACTTTTCAATGACTCTCATGTTTTTGGTTTGGTTGTATTGGTAAGTTGCTGTTTCTGTTGTTACACACTCAATAAAACTGATAGACCTGGTATATAAATTTAATACAAGGAAAATTTTTAAAACACAACACACATGAAAATTCACAAGTTAGTTTCAATATTATATAAAAAAGCACTGAAAATGAAATTATATACATGTAGCTACTTTCTGTACAATAAAAATTTATATAATCACAACATTAAAGTACTTTGACAAGTATCAATATTATATAAAACAGCACTGAAAATGATTTTAGATACTTTCTTGAAATTGGTAATTTAATATTTTTGAGCTGGATCAAATTTTTAGAGGTATTAAGTTCACGTGTATATACATGTATGTCATCAGATGAAATTATATCTTCCAAAAAAAAAAAAAGCACTGCAAGCAAGAAACCATTAAAAGCACTAAATAAATAAGTATTATTAACACAGGTAAAAAATCAACTATATACATTGCCACTTATATTGGAAATAAAATATTTTAAACTAGGCAGCCAAAACTCATCACCTTTGAAGTAAATGGATTTGTAATATAAACACTGATTTATATTTTATATTACTTGACTCTGGTGAAAAATACTTCTGTGTGTCAATTAAAACAATCTATATAAAAATGTACATATATATAAAAATCTATAGTAAATTATAGGTCAAAATAGCCAGTGGAACTTCTTTTTTGGCAAGCATGGAAAATGGACTACTTCATTCATTGTTTATAAGAATCAACAAAAATGTTTAAACAATAATCTATTTGAAATGTCCATTTGTTCTCTATAAATTATGCTTTATTTCTGAATTGAAAAACAAAAAAAAATTGCAGCATTTCCTTATTAACTTGTGTGTTAGAGCAAGATGATACAGAAGATGTGAAAAATTTGTTACATCAACACAGCACTGATTATTGCTGTATATACATGAGAGTCTGAAAGGGGTACATGTATACATAATAGGAGAAAGAATGTGCAGAATGAAGGGCTAAATAAATACAAAAATTGAGAAAAAAACAAAATAGAGAATAATGGGATGCTTAAATATAAAGACTAGAGATTTTCATGCCAAATTAATAAAGAATAGAGAAAATGGCTATAAAAATTTAAGAATACAGAACAGAAGGAGCCCTCCCCCATCCACACCCTCATATATACAAAAAGTCATTCTGAGCTTTAGTTTAGCAACAGAACTACATGTAATTGGAACACTGTACATTTATATTTGGACTCGAATTCAGTGTGAAAATAGAAATTTGTTAAACATATTCAATAAAAAATGACTTTTGCAACAACAGTTGCAAAAAGCATACATGTAAGGTAAAGGTATAAATATCACAATATGAAAATAAACTATTGCACTATTTGTAATGTCATCACAGCACTATATACGGTATGAGCGATTTCTCTGCTGACGAGCACATTCTTCTTTCTTCCCTGTCAACCAACTGAAAAAATTCTTTCCATTAAGTCTACTATTTGGGTCATACTCCATGGTCATGAAGGATCTATGGCTGCGACCGGGTATTCTTTCAAACAGCTTTTCAACTTTAAGACTGTTCACAAGCTTATTTATGTCTTTCTGGATAGAAGGCTTTGAGTTTGCTGGCTTTCCAAAAAACTGTTGCAATCCTTTGGTGTAGCCATCAATAAGGTAGTTGCATCCTTGCAAGCTTCGACCACAACGCTGTATAGCAGTAGATGTAAGGTTACCTCTTAAACCGGTTAAGCCGTCTTTCGCCCTCATATTCATGAATTCTAATGCTAGATCACAAGGAATGTTTCCTCCTGGTCCACCATGAATATTCACAGTACGATTATACTTCAGTTCATGGGCCATTTTTGGTGGCAATATAGCAAGAAGCTGAGCTTGCAGTTTAAAAGCTAACAGCCTGTACTTTGTATGGTTGGTGTACGAAAACCTTAGCATGTCGAAACGCCACATTCTAACAAGTCTATCTCCGTCATTTTCTTTGGCTGCATCTTCTCGGCACCAATCCATCAGCCCTTCTCGCAACAAACAACAAGAATAATTAAATTTTTTGTCTTCCAGCTTGGTAGTTTTAGTGTCTATATCTGTTTCTTTCTCTTCATTAATATTTTCGATTTGACCAACATTTCCTAAAATTTCCAAATTTTGGTACTGGCATGTTTCTCTGTGTCTCTGGCGGCAACGTCCATCAATGGAAAATGTCTTCGGACAACCCGGAAACCCACAGCTAGTTCTTTTATTGGTGTTATTATCTGCTTCTCCCTCATGTGTAAATTTAAAAGTCTTAGTGGCAACAAACTTATTGACGATGTCACTAGACAATTTCTCTAGAAATGTCTTTTTCTGTTCATTTGTTTTTAAATTTTCAATATGTACATTCAATTCATCTGCACTGTTTATGTTTAAAACCTCAAAGGCAGCTAAAACAGCATAGCCTTGTGTTGCAAATCTAATGAACTCTCTGTCATCATTAACTGCACTTGACACCTGAAACATAAACAAAAATATATTTGTGTTTTAATTAGAGACAAACAATTCAAAGCACCACAAAGCAAAGACTGATATTCATAAGCCAAGTGAAATATTTATATATAGCTTAATATTATGTGATATGGGTTCTGATCATTGTTGAAGGCTTTATGGTGACTTATAGTTTTTCCAACTATCAAATGCTATATACTTACTAACATCTATGTCATAACAAAATAACAATAACACGTACATGGGTACATATCTGTTTTAATTTGTAACTAACTGAATGGCAATTTAAGTATTTATTTATAAATAAATTTATGTAGTCATTCCATTATATTTATTGTCATTAAAAACAATTAATGGCAATAAACATATTTGTATGTATTACTTTTGAATTGCTAGAAATTTCACATCTATGTTAACAATATTTTAAAATATAATGTATACAATATGTACATTTGTACTATTATTTATGGATCAAAACCAATGATTAAACATTTACACATACCTGTGATTTTACTCCTCTTCTGTCAAAAAGATTTCTTAGCTGGAACAGTGTTCCTTTCTCTCCAGATGATGTTCCTTTATATAACAGGTTAAATGTTTCCTGATGAGAAATAAGAATGTTGTGAAATGTATATATAAAAATATACTGATATAGAATTTAATTATAAAATATCTAAGCTTTCAGGAAATGCAAATACTTGCCAAACTAATTTCCTTCAACATAACAAAGTAATCATAAACATTGTTGAAGGCCGTACAGTGACCTATAGTTGTTAATTTCTGTGTCATTTGGTCTCTTGTGGAGAGTTATCTCATTGGCAATCATATCACATCTTCTGATACTTGAGACAGCACCCATCAAATTTTGTTTACCCAATTGTCAAAATAATGATTGAAAAAGAATTCTTGCCCTTAATATGATATATTTATATATACATGTATGTGTAAAGGGTTTACTAAACATGTGTAAGTTGTTCAAAGCAAACAGTTCTTCCCAAAGTAAATAAATGAAATTTCTTAATACCTGCAAAGAAATAACATGTCCATGCCAGTCTTCTGATTTCCACGTAAAACCTTCAAGTCTGTCTTCTTCAGTAATTGCATCCATTCTTGCCCGACTTGCTGCCTCACCACGCTCAACGCTTAAGGCATCCCCTCCTAACAGTATTGGTATAAATTTTCCGTCATTGGTTTTTGGAACATATTGTTGTAAATGCTGCACAACTTCTATCATCTGCTCTGTGATATTCTCATCCTTTTCTAAGATCCCCAAAGGTACCTTGAATCAAAAAACTTGATTTTAATAAATTTCAACAAGAGATATAAATATTACATGGGGAAGCAAATGATTCAAGCTAAACCAATTTTAAATCGATAAAGTTTCATGTACTTAATAAAGGAGAAGATATGTTTCAATCTTTTAAAAATGTGTAAGATTAATTAAAACCTAAATTTATATTGACATTTAACCAGTAAGATAGAGAAATTATTGTTGAAGGGGTTATATGAATCATTAAAGTTGGGGTATATTACACAAGTTTCAGATTTTTTACAATAACAAATACTTCATTTGATTTGTACTATACCACACAAATTTGTTTGTCAAATTGATAGTTAAAAAAAAACAACCAACAAATAGTATTAGTCTTCCTTAGAAAAGGTCTGTTTAGTACTTATATATATACATGTATGTGTTAATTTGTTTTGTAACCGTCCAATATATTCAATTTTCACTTCATCTTCTATTTTTAAAATTCTGGAGTTATCTCATTTCTTCAGAAAATAATTTGTGTACCGTTTGAATATTGATTGATTACGTAAAAAACATGATTGATTTCAATTTAAAAAAAAAACAACAAAAAAAAAACAACTGAATAAATTTACTTACTATATCACTTTTTTTCTCTGAAGCCTTGGAGTACTGATGTTCAATGTGAAATGTGACAAGGTCTCTAAAATCTTTAAGTTCTGGTATATAGGTGACTAAAGCCCTCTGAATTAATATTTGAAAATCTGCATATAAATCATCATGGTCTGTCTGGTTTGGAATGAAAGCTTCATTCGGTATCGACAAAATGTCTGCCTGTGGCAAAAGTGACTCCAAGTCTGTCGTTACTCTGCGTTGTATTCCAATTGAATGCACCAGATTATGTACCTTGTTTGAGGTATCCAGTGTCTTGTGCCTGGTTTTCTGGTGCAGATTTAAATTATCCATCACAATCTGAAAGGGTCCAGATTCTGATGATGCTTCTACCGGTATAGTTGTTGTGAATGGTGAATCCATATCAATTGCTGGAATAAAAAAGTTCATTGTTATCTGTGTGCTACATGTATATGAAATTTTAGGGGAGCTAATGACTGTTCATAATTGAATGTTAAGCAATCATTCCACATCTTTTTTATAACTCTAAGCAGGGAAATAATGCCTTGTTTTAATCAGACAAAATGATGCCCATATATTTACACTGAAAATAAAAGTTTAAAATTATAATATATTATTACGAACTAGTTATACATGTATGTTAAGGCCATAGAGTCGCATAGACAATACAATTATCAAGTATGATGTTGAAAATGTAATATATTCAGATGAATATATCATATTAAATATCAAAAGAAGTGAACCCCCCTCTTTCAGTTTCCATTTTTTTCATGACCCCCCGACCCCCCATTTGGAGATAAAAATCAATAATGACAAGTACCTGCTCCCTTAAAAAGTAAATAAAGCCATCACTTACACAAGTCTATCTTGCAGGCTGGTGTTTGAAGTAACTCCTCTGACTCATAGCTTCCACATTTTATTGGTGTAGGTAAATGTAAATTTTCTTGACTCAAATCAGGATTTCCTGATGTGTCAAGTCTGGAATGGTCAATTGGAGATTCAAACAAAGGTTCAGCAGTGTATATACATGTATCCTCCATCTTGGTTTCAGTTTCTATATCTATGGGGATAGCATAACTATGATCATCTGCAAAGAAAGACACAAGTTAATCTTTATTCAAAATTGTAGTTTTCATGCATAAGGCCTACACAATTTTTTGCTAATTATGATCACACCCACCAATATATCTAAAGTTTATTGATCCTATAACTCTAGCTAATGAACTATGGAAGTCATCACTACAACATATTTTATGTGAAAACTTTTTTGTCCCAAACCCTATTCATTTTAGTAAACATAATTTTAAATTGTACATATATTAAACTGTAGCTTCAATTTTCTACGTGTAGTAAAAAAAATGTACCATTGCATCGTAAATAAAAAATATTCAAAATGATAAGGTATTCATTGAACACAATTATATTATAACTACATGTATACTAGGCATATACAAGTACATGTACATGTATTTCATTTTCAAATTTGTACATGTATATTACTATTCATTAAATATGTTATAAAACTGTATAATTTTTATATAAATGATTAAGTTTATTATTTCAAACAAATACAACATGGACATACTAGTACATGTACACTTAAAAACTTAAATTGACTAAATTTATTTAGATAAAAAGATTAATACTGAGGCTCGTAGAAAATTATATAATTCACAAGACCAGCATATTTTGTTTAATATTTTGAAAAAAGTTACAAGACATGTACCTAAGCTTGAGTCCTTCGTATTACTATTTTCTTTGTTATGCATCTCTGCAACCTTATTAGCCCATTTCTTCACTGGCAGGTCAAAACTCTCACATATTCTGTCAATAGTGGACAATGTTGATTTGTATGATGTACACAGTCCTGCACGGTTGAATGTAGTGTAAACCTGAAATCAAATTCCATCTAAATTTAGAGCATTTCAGATCAATACATACTAATTCATAGAAACAATTATACTACGAAAGCAAGGAGATATGGTATTTCCTAGACACCAAAAAGTAAAAATTGTATGAATGGTTGCATATTTGAGAACAAAAAAACTACCAGTGTACTCTACACACTACATGTACATTTTAGCCAACTTTATTTTTCTTAATAGGGAAGCGGAACACCACTAATTTTTTTACAAGTTTTACACATGTAAATACATCCTTTTTAAAATTCAGATAAAAATAAAATTATATATGCCCCTTGACTCACATGACTAACTAATTAATATAAATTTGGGTAAGCATTCTTAAGTTAATTGTTACTTGTACATTAACTGTACTACTGACCAAATACAAATCTCCTGACCATTTACACTATTATTTACCAAATTCATACATGTACATGTAATAATTATATTTAGTATGCCAGTCTGAAAATTTGAAATTCATATTATTCCACTCTAACTCAAGTCCACAAGTTAAAATTTTCACTTAACCAAATACTAATCTTGCTATCTTTTATATATTTACCTTAGTTCTTACATGACCCCTGAACATTAGTACACTGTTTATTGCTTGAAAAGTGTTGATCTGTTGGTTTCTTGAAAAAAGTAGGATGGCAAGACTTGATACAACTCTTGGTACATTATTCTCTTTTTTGCCAGCAAGAAGTCTGAGGAGGTCAACTGTAGTGGGGCATGTGTTCAGCAATTGCTTATGTACTGTCTTCCATGAAAATCTAGCTATATTTGATGATCTCAACACAGAGTTCTTATCTGAACATACTTTGTTTACTTCCTGGTTTATAGTTTTCTTAACAGTGTTAACTAGTTCTTTCTTGACTTCGTCAATTTGAAGTAGATGGTTCAGTGCAGTCTTGTATTGTTTCATTACAAGAGCCCTACAGGCCAGCTTAGTAGGTCCTTGTAAATTAGTTTTTCTTTTACTATGGAGGTAATCAATTTGCACCTGGAAAAAAAGTAAGAAATGTACATTACGTGTTATGATTTTGTTACTTATCATGCTTATAAATAAGAAAGAAAATAAATTGCTTACAAAAGCTTACAGAACTGGCTACATGTATAATGAACATGTACAATAGCAAAACTTGTTGCATTCCTTAATACCAGTAAACTGAGATACATGCATATTTCAAATAAGTTACACAAATGCTGCATTACATGTATGTTGAGTTGATTTTTTTCTAAATCAAGAAGTGGGAGATACAATTGCAAAGTTAAAAAATCATGGCTTAAGTCAGGGTATTTGTAATTTACATGTAAAAAAGGTTCAATGATCATTGGTTTAAGAATTTAATGTTATCTTATATATATATATATATATATACCTTGACTTTGGGGCCAGGGGACTGATTCTGTGAGTGTGACTGTGTTTGAGTTCTTGGAATGGGTGTAGAGAACTGCAGTCTCCTTCTATTGCCTTTAGGAGTTGATCCTCTGGGTGGACTCAATTTCTTTCCTTTTGGTGTACATCCAGTTTTAGAAGGGGTTAAACAGTCCCTGTTTCGCTTTACACTATTGTTGCCACGGACATATTCTAACTTGATGGTGAGATTCTTAAAGTTATTAGAAACTTTTTCTTTGAGAGTGTCAGTCAACTGTTTGCATTTTTTCTGGCTGTTGTATATGGTTTTAAGAGATTTAAAACATGCATCACATACATAAGTGTCTTCATTTTCTTCAACATACTTTCTCAACAGATTTTCCTCCAACTGGTAACAATTTGCAATAGTTTCAATTAGATCAACATCACTATGTTTCATAAGTTTACGTCTTCGCTCCGTTTTTAAATTGTTCACATCAAAATAATGTTGACAATGCAAACACGTGTTGTCAAATTCCATTGTTATGAAGGTGTTTACTTTTAATCATGCTCCGCCTTCTTTTCCAGCTATTTGCGAACAGGTAAATAGGTAATATAACCTAAGGAGGTTACTAATCGTATCATCTGTTTATGCTCCGCCTTTTTCTCCCGCCTAATCTGTTATTGTAAACAATTGCCCATAATTCACCGCGTCAATCAATTTCCGCTTTGACGCGTTCTAACTGTGTATGCATTCAGGCGTTAATGTAGCAATCGGAGATTAGACGGAGATCGGCGGAATATAACGACTGACATTATTCGGGTTAGGCAAAAGTATATAGAAGCCATTTATCTATTGAATCAGTATGAAGAAATCTATACTTTGACGCTATTAATAACTTTGAGTAAACCAGAAGTAGCTTCCTATCAATTATTTAGAAAATTGATGTGGAAAGACCTTCAATTGTTCTTTGAACAATTGGTTTTTAATTTTTTTTTTTTCTTCCGCCAAATTTTGTTCTTGCGATAAATTTTTGTTTCGCAAGATGTCGCTTAGATGTTTCGTATATGATATCGAACAGTTTATGCACCTTTGAAATTGACCCTGCTTAACCGAATACTTTTCTTTGTAGGAGTTATCTCCCCGAACACTGTTTTCCTTGTGCATGCATCTCCTCCGTAACCGTAAAAGAAAGCAACAAATTTATTTTACCAAATTGCTCGTTATATCCTCAGGATGTTTTGTCCAATTTTGACCGAAGCGATATGTTAACTCCATATGAGAGTTATTTCCCCTTCTGTATTTGACATAAGGGATATATAAATGTATAGCATGAATGGTAAGTGATAGAGACCTACGGTATATTGATTTGAGTTCCTTGGTTCATTTAAATGAAATTGAGGTCAAGGTCAAAGGTCAAGGTCATATTCTAAATTTTGACTTTTCCTTGTTATTTGATCTCCTCTGTCACTTTTAAAATTACAAATTAAAGAACTAGTGCAAATTGTTTGCTTAATTGTGATTAAGATCTGATACATTTGGTCTGAAACAATCCAATGATATCTTATAGGAGTTATTGTCCCTGAAATGATTCAATTTAAGGTTAATTGATTATTACTCAAACTTGGTACATGATAAAGCCATAGGGTCTTTTGCAAACTGTTGGTTGACATATGACCTTGAAAAAAGTAAACCGGAAGTGACCTTGAGCGAACCGGAAGAAGTATTTTTTGTACTTATTCATGGAAAAGTACCTAGAAACCATATATTTTTTGAATGATCATAACCTATCATTTGAGACCGGAATTGACATTTTATAACCCGGAAGTAGCATATTATCTTCCTTGTTACAGGCATAAGTATATACAAACTATATATTTTTGGAATCAGTGTGAATAAAGCTATCATATGAGACCGGAAGTGACATTTTCTAAACCGGAAGTTGGCAATTATCTCCCTTATTTCAGGCTAAAGTATATAGAAACCATTTATTTATTGAATCAGTATGAAGAAATCTATACTTTGACGCTATTAATAACATTGAGTAAACAAGAAGTAGCTACCTATCAATTATTTAGAAAATTGATGTGGAAAGACCTTCAATTCTTCTGTGAACAATTGGTTTTTAATTATTATTTTTATTTTTTTCTTCTTCCGCCACTTTTTTCTGACGGTGCTTTTTTGTTTTGCAAGATGTCACTTAGATTTTTTGTGTACGATATCGAAAAGTTATTGCGATTTTGAAACTGACCCTGTTTAACCATATACTTTTTATTGTAAGGGTTATCTCCCCAAACACTGTTTTTCTTGTGTACGCATCTCCTTCGCAACCGTAAAAGATTATGACAAATGTATGTCTCCAATTTGTTCGTTATATCCTCAGGATCTTAAGAATAATTCTGACCGAAGCGGTCCAGAAACTCCATATGAGAGTTATTTCCCCTTCTGTATTTAAAATAAATGTAATTGTAATTGGTAAACCATTAGTGAAAGGGACCTAGGGTCTTTTGATTTGAGGTCCTTGGTCCAAAAAAAAAAGAAAATAGGTCAAGGTCAAAGGTGAAGGTCATTTTTAAATTTGGATTTTGGCTTATTTTCACCACTTTTCAAACACGATATAAGATATCGACAAAATATTTTTACTTAATTGCAAGTTGCGACATGTCGAAACACATGCATATTGGTTTAAAGGGTGCGCTTACATCAAATAAGAGTTTTCTCCCCTCTTTATTTAAAAATATGCATATGGTGATATAACTCATGAACCAAATATAATTAAGATCTAGGGTCTTTTGATTTGAGGTCCTTGGTTGATGACCTTGAAATTGAGCTCAAGGTCATAGATTAAATTGACGTTCTAGATTTTGACCTTTACTTTTACCTCATTTGTATACATGATAAAGCCATGGGACTTTTTGCATTTAGTTGCAAGACATATGACCTTAAAAAACAACCGGAAGTGAACCTGTGTAAACCGGAAGTAGCTATTTTTTTTGTACTTTTTGAATGTTAAAGTATATAGAACCATATATTTTTGGAATCAGTGTCAATTAAACAGTGAAACAATACCGGAAGTAAACCTTTTTCAAACTGGAAGTAACAAATTATTTCCCTTATTTAAAAAATGTTGTATATATTTTTGGAATCAGCGTACTATTAGCTATCATTTAACGCTGGAAATGACATTTTAAACCGAATTTTTACTATTTTCATATCAAAATTCTTGTTTTTTTGTGGAAAGACCTTCAATTGTTCTCTGAACAATTGGTTTTTAATTATTATTTTTTTTTTCTTCCGCCTAATTTTTCTTCATGCGTAGTTTTGTTGTTTCATAAGATGTCGCTTAGATATTTGGAATATGATATCGTATAGTTCATACGCTTTTAAAACTGACAACCGCGTAACCAAATACCTTACGTTGTAAGAGTTATCTCCTCAAACACGGTTTTTCTTGTGGCCACTACTCCTTCGCAACCATAAAAGATTACGACAAATTTATTTTACCAAATTGCTCGTTACATCTTCAGGATTAGGATTTTTATTTTGACCAAAGCTATCCGGAGACTCCATATGAGAGTTATTCCCCCTTATGTATTTGATATAAGTGATATGCGTTTCTAACTGGTAAACCATAAGTGATATTGGCCTAGGGTCTTTGGATTTGAGGTCCTTGGTCTAAACAAAAAAAAAACTTAGGTCAAGGTCAAAGGTCAAGGTCATATTCTTAATATTGGTTTTGGCTTATTCTCACTTCTTTTCAAAAACCGTACAAGATATCGACAACATATTATTACTAAATTGTTAGTTGCGACATGTCGTAACACATACATTTTGGTTTAAAGGGTGTGCTAACATTAAATAAGAGTTTTCTCCCCCTCTTGTATTTAAAAATACGCGTATGGTGATATAACTCATTAACCATATATAATTAAGACCTAGGGTCTTTTGATTTGAGGTCCTTGGTTAATGACCTTGAAATTGATCTCAAGGTCATAGGTAAATTTGACGTTTTAGATTTTGACCTTTGCTTTTACCTCATATGTATACATGATAAAGCCATGGGACTTTTTGCATTAGGTTGCAAGCCATTTGACCTTGAAAAATCTAACCGGAAGTGACCTTGTGTAAACCGGAAGTAGCTATTTTTTATACTTATTTAATATAAAAGTATATAGAACCATATATTTTTTGGAATCAGTGTCAAGTAAACATTCAAATTAAACCGGAAGTAACATTTTTCAAACCGGAAGTGACAAACTATCTCCCTTATTTAAAAAAAAGTATAGAAATCATATATTTTTGGAATCAGCGTACAATAAGCTATCAATTGACGCTGGAAATGACATTTTAAACTAAATTTTAATATTTTCATATCAAAATAGATCTTTATGGGTGGAAAGACCTTTAATTGTTCTCTGAACAATTAGTTTTTAATTATATTTGGAACCTTTCTGCTACTTGATCGAAATATATAAAAAAAAAGTTTTAATAAAAATATCGAACTCAATGGTAAATCAAAAAGGGGAATTTCATAGAATTAACTGACAAAATTAAATTATAGACTAACGGAACCAAGGAAATGTCATATGCACGACTTGAAACAGGTACTTTCCGAATGAAAATGGTGATTTAATTCAGTAATTTCTGCCTCATGAAATACAGAATGATGCAATTTTATCCTTTTTATGTTATTTCCTTTGACAGAACTGGTATCAATGTTCCCTTGCCTGTGAAAACGCAAGAAGAAATAGAAAGGTAAAGATTAACTAATTCTATGATGATATGTGACTGCTGAACGTTCAGCGACAAATTAAATGCATATTTAGGACGAGAAAAAGTTAATGTCATATGAATATTAACCCTACCTTTTCCTCACCGACAAACAGAGCCTGATGTTTTACGTGGTAGTTCACAAGGTAACAATCCACAGGGAGACATGTTACCCAACCCAGACTGATCATCTGACTCAAAGCCGACCATTTTTTAATCTTACTCCTACATGCCGCAACAAATATCGATTTTAAAGTTTTAGGTTTGATCTGGGCGGGGTTGAAACCAACGACTCCCTCACACCCGAGCCGAATACACAGATAACATGAATCGTTTATCTGGCTCCTGAAACCAACGGACACTTATCCACATGATATTACTAAAATAGTTGAACGTGGCATTAAACATTAACACACAAACTGAAATATTTACATTAGATTTAATACGCACTGTTACCGATACTTATATTTACAGCCGGTCTTGCTATATGTTTTTTTTTCTTCAAGCTTTTACACGGTATCATGAGTAATATATTCACTTGATATATATTTTTATACCCCACGCAATGAGTTGAGGAGGGTATAATGTTTTTGACCCGTCCGTCCGTCCGTCAGTCCGTCAATCCTGCTTCTTGTCATCGCAACTCCTCTCAAACCACACAACAGAATTTCATAAAACCTTTTCAGATAATAAGGACATACCGGTACTACATAGATGTGCATATCGACAGGAAATTACGATTCAATTTTTTTTCTAGGAGTTACGCCCCTTTGAACTTATTTGCTTCAATATACTACTGCAACAGTTTGTCATCGCAACTCCTCTGAAACCACACAACAGAATTTCATGAAACCTTTTTAGATAATAAGGACATACTATGCAGATGTGCATATCGACAGGAAATTACGATTCAATTTTTTTTCTAGGAGTTATGCCCTTTTGAACTTATTTGCTTCAATATACTACTGCAACAGTTTGTCATCGCAACTCCTCTGAAACCAAACAACAGAATTTCATGAAACCTTTTTAGATAATAAGGACATACTATGCAGATGTGCATATCGACAGGAAATTACGATTCATTTTTTTTCTAGGAGTTATGCCCCTTTGAACTTATTTGCTTCAATATACTACTGCAACAGTTTGTCATCGCAACTCCTCCGAAACCACACAACAGAATTTCATGAAACTTTGTAGATAATAAGGACATACTACGTAGATGTGCATATCGACAGGAAATTATGATTAAATTTTTTTTTCTTATACAATTTTTGTTTCTTACTGTTATTTTGTTTCTCCAGCGCTCACTAAGGTTCTTTAATTGCATAAAATTCTTCAATGTTTTAGATTGCAACCGCCTATGATAGAGAAATGACAATGGTTGATTTGGCTACTAACCCAGCGTCCAGACCACAATCAAGAGTTAGTATAAAGACAAACGTGACAGCGACCACCATGCTGACTTAATACGAAGAAGATTCCATCATGTATATCAAAAGTGAAAATCAAGCTTTGAAAATGGAACTCAGGTAATGTGTATAACTGTTAATAATTAATGTATTCTGCAATACGAAATATGGTCAGTCGGAATGGCTTTCATATATTATCATCCATAGATGATGGATCATATGTTTAGTACTCCTAGACAACATTTGCGTATTTTTGAATTTTTACTTCCATGTAGGTCTAAAATATGAATAGGAAATTAGCAGACAACTATTTAATTTGTTTATAGTTTTCAGACATAAGTAAATAATTGTTTATTTTGTTTCTAATTTTTTAAACATTATTTTTTTACCTCCATCAACCGAAGAAGTTAAGGTTTGAAAACGTTATACCTATCTGTGTTATTGTTACAGTAAACTTCGAAAACAGACAAAAGAAATGATGCATGCTACATCCCTTCTAACTAACTACTGTACAAACGTGATGAAGTTTTCCTTGATGCAGGAGGATGATATATTGGAAGCTCTGAGAAAACCAATGGTGGACGATGATGAATTATCAGAGTTCTATCATAGTATCTCATCTGTTGGACATTCCTTCTCAAAACTGAAGAGCGAGATGTAAGTGAACAATGATTTCTAGATATGATCAGATATACAGGATGAATGAAAAATAAAATGACTCATGCGATATTACGAGACTGTGCATTGTCCTCTAGATGACTGTTGATGTATTGTGTTGTAAGGTTACTGAAGCATTAACGTAATGTACGCCCTATCTTTCATTCAGATATTCAAATTAAGGCTATAGAATATATCTCTGGGAGACAGTGGTAGTCCAATAATTCAAAAAAAGGTACTCTTAAAGACAATAAGATTCACATACGTTTTTCGTCAATACACAAATTAAGTTTCCGAACAATATTTCAAGCTCTAACCACAATGAAGACTGGGGAATAGAAAAATGACCATTCTTTGGTCATCTTCCGACCAGCAGTTAAACTCTTGCCAATGTTGGGCGACCGTTTGGTTGTGTGGGATGTAAAAATACACAACCACACCCCGTTAGAATGGGGAAGTGAAATCCTATACCACTCTGCACGTTAAGAACCATTGCAACACTTCTTTGAGGGATCCGTTCGTGGCCTGTTGCAAGGTCCATATCCAAAAACCCTCATTTTCCAGTGGCCTTTCAACTTTCCCGCCCTTTATACCAGTCAACTGCTATTACATGATATATCTTTTGTATTTATTGTTAATTTGTTTTCGTCCTGAAACTGCATGAAATATTTGCCACTGGACATTAAGCAAACATTAATTTTCCAATCAGTCAAGCTCAAATCGACACCCAGTGTATACAAAGCGTCTTAACAATTAACACAGAATTAATGCTGATTGGCAATTTTCACTAGCTGATCTTATCATATGATTTAGATGTATCTTCAGGATTGCATATTCGTTGAATAAGTTTCATTAAAAGTGAAAACTCAATTTCAAAAATACTTAACATGTACATTTAACATCGGAGTAGTAGTTAAAGATTAAAATAACTTTATTCGTAAAAGGCATATTCTACACCGGCAAAATTTCCGTTTTTAGTAGACAATTATACTAAACAGTAAAGAAATATAGAAACACAACCACAGGCATAATACATACTCTTTTTAATTTATTAGAATTAACAATTGTATTTTATATATAATAACATGTATTATGTACACATTGACATTATCAATAAACGTTATACATGATCTGCAATAAGTAACAAGTGTATATTGTAGACTGAATGTTGAAAGTACTGATATGGGATCCTTTGAAGACCTCCAAAACAACACTGATGACACAACAAGTATCCAAACAAGGTAAATAAATATATATTAATTAAAATGATATGTTCACAGACATCAATTAGGCAACTATCTGTTTTGAATCAACTCAAATCGTTGTACTATATTAATTTTATGAATACATTTTACCTTTCAGGATTTTTTTTTAAAATATATTATTCCATAAATATATCTATGATAACAAACCCGTCATAAAAGAAGCAAAGAGAAAAAGCACAAAAGTAAACAATCACCATATAGAACAATGTTCCAATCCTCGAGTTAAAACGAATTAATGATTTAACGCAAAAGATGTTACCAGTAGTGGACTGGCGCCTTTTTTACACTGTTCATCCCTACAGTATGAACAGTCAAAACTCAAATACATGAATAAAAACTTAATGAATATAAAAGTGTATATAATTAGGTATGACTTATCCAAATAAACTTGAATATTGGTACCACAACTTTCCTAAAACGTACTTCAAAAATTCAACAAATCATAGACTAAAGCAATAACCCATCAAAGGTATAATGTAACATACTTATAATTTGGTACGACAGACGCGAGTTTATATTTAAAAAGACTTCTGTGGCGCCCAAATACGTAAAGCAGTTATTACTACACAAATATATCTGTTATTTAGACATAACACAGAAAGAACGTTCATTTTCCAAAAAGTTTGAAAAGCCGCCATCTGTTATGCGTTTAAAATTCCCAAGAGAGGTTATATTATAGATTAGATCATCTCTCTCCTTTCAACTGTATTGACTAATTTCTTTGATATTCCATGAAAAGTTTCAGCATTACCATTTTTATTCCACAGGATGTCTATTGAAACTGTAGCCAACCACAGCATAGCAGAAACTGTTTCAACTACTATCCATGACAAAGTCAGCGAGTTACCTCCCATATCACAGAAGAGTAGTAGACCAAACAGCATTATTTACATGTACTCTAAATTGTATGATAACGAATGGAGTGATGCCTTGGACATGCTTACACAGTCTGGAAAACGATGGGCTATGGACCTCGTTATAAAACATCTATACATAGTCATAAAGGTAAACTAGCTTTATCATTTGTTGTGTTTTACCAAGTTTAAAGCCATAAAATATGAAATATGTATTACTTAGAATTTAAATTATTTTACCAAATACAATACATGAGTATATTTCCTATGCGATTTTTGTTGTTGTTTGTACATGTATACTAAGGGGAAGTTTTGAAGGTGTTTTTATCAAAGTTTATTTTATGTTGCAATGACTCGTCTTTTTTAATATTGAGGAAGATTTTACTACCGTGTGCTGTTCGTTGCTGAACAATACACTTTTGACTACAAAATTCTAACAATTTTGCATATTTTGGGTAAATAAATGCGTATTTTCAATTATCATGCTTACTAAATTTGTTTTCAATTGCTTTAATCATACTAGTACTGCATTTCCGATATTCTGTTAATTCTTTGTTAATGAAATGTGCTATGTAAACATGTGTATGTGTATTCCAGGCTTGTTACAAAATATGTAAACATATAGAAGAGCAACAACTACAAGATCTGATTGACACAGTGTTTCTCTCAAATAATGGCAGAAGGGTGAGTTTATGACTAAAATCTAGATATTCTTGCAACGATACAGATGAAAAGAGAAATTTGCAAAATAAAGTGATGTGATGTGATTCCATACGAGACAATTATTCAACAAAGAGAAAATCACGTGAAGGTATAGTTTCTATTTAACAGGTTAATAAAAAAAAGTTAATAAAAGGTTATTCTATATTATATGGCATTTTATTCAACATATCATCTTTTGGAGCTAAATCTCGTCTTTTATTATTAATCGATTAGACAATGTCCATAGCTTTAAAGTTACACCTGTTTATATAAGCTCATGCATGATCGTAAAGGTTGCAATTCTGTAAATATAGACAATGCAATTTCCCATAGGAACTCCCTTTGCGGCTAAAACTGTGACACTTTTACTATGAAGTTTCGTGAAAAATAATATCCTAGAACGGAAAGTTTATATGCACTACTATTTTATTCAAAGGTCAAAATATAGGGCTGTGCGGCATATTTTCAACATTTATATGCCCTGAACTTCTAAGAGTTTAAACTTATACTAAAATTCTATACTACCCTTACCTCCATTTTTGGACCTCCTAAGAATTAAAATTTAGGCGCTACCATGTTTTTCTATACTGGTTACATTCCCAAGTGATGTCTCTATGAAATGAAACACAGAGATCATAAATGGGAACCAGTACGTTAACAAATTAACATATCTATGAATATTATATATCTCCCCAAAAGAGGCGTGGTTTGAGAAACAGCTGTATTTACAAAGTGCAACCTATACAAACATTTATTCAAATAGAAAACTCTCTAAAACACTTTTTCTCACAACAATACTTATTTATCAGAATTATAGTCTAAAAGAAATCACTGCATATACTCTAAGTTTCCTTTTACAGTATATTTTATACCCCTACCCCTGTTTCAATTTTTTAAAGAATTTGAAAACAAGACTTTAATTATTGCCAGCTTACCCTATGTGCATGTTTTCTGACATGAACTGTCTAAAACCTGTTTGAAATTATTCTGATAACAAATTGAAAGCATTTTAAAATACTATAAATGTAATGTTTAGTAGGTAATCATTCCAACATTCAAGATTATACAAAGTATCCAATCCTGCCTGTGTCTCCAGTCCACATCTTACTGTATGCCTATTTGTCAATGAAAGTTCACAATTTCTGCCTCAAATGGTCAGTTTAGAATTCATGTTACAACAGTATCATCCCTAACCATATATCTAACATAAGTCAGTTAATATATGAACTAGAAGTGTTTAAACAAAGCCATATTTGCAAAAGTTGTATTTATGAAGATATCAGTCTGGTGCATAAATGCACTAAAAGTTTGATAGAAATGACTGCTTACATCTGATTTTTACATAACTTCCTAGCATAGTTATTGTTTTCTTTACAAAAGACCTTTAAAATAATAAAAGCATAGCATTTAGAAGTTAAATTATCTGTTTTATGACCCAGGGGGAGGCATTTTTCTCTGTTTTTTGCCCCTGGGGCCTCACATTTCCTAAATTTTTTCCCTGTTTCTAGCAATGTGGAATATTTGGTACATATTTAGGATAGAACACACCATTGTTAGTTTTATTGAGGTCTTTTTGTAATTCTAGCTTGTACTTTTTATACCGCAGTCACAAAAAAGCACATTAAGGTGTTACGGCTTACTTTTGGGTTATCGATAGGACAAAAACACCCCACCAAAAATATTTAAGAAGGATCAATGAGTTGCAATGACTGCGAAGAGTAAATATAAGCACTTCTAAACAATTTAAATTACAAATAGGCATAAATTATGAATTTACTTTGAATTCAGGGATTTAAGTAAACAATGCATACTGTAAACTGTGAATTTATGCTGACTCATCATAGTTTAGGCCTAGGATTTTCTCAATCTTCATAAAATATTTATAAAACTTCATATTTGAGTAAAATTCTTCAAAATCTCTGAGATAAACAAGATTTTGTGAAATTCTGTATGTTCTAATTTTTAACCCTATATAGGTTGCAATTCTGTAAATATAGACAATGCAATTTCCCATAGGAACTCCCTTTGCGGCTAAAACTGTGACACTTTTACTATGAAGTTTCGTGAAAAATAATATCCTAGAACGGAAAGTTTATATGCACTACTATTTTATTCAAAGGTCAAAATATAGGGCTGTGCGGCATATTTTCAACATTTATATGCCCTGAACTTCTAAGAGTTTAAACTTATACTAAAATTCTATACTACCCTTACCTCCATTTTTGGACCTCCTAAGAATTAAAATTTAGGCGCTACCATGTTTTTCTATACTGGTTACATTCCCAAGTGATGTCTCTATGAAATGAAACACAGAGATCATAAATGGGAACCAGTACGTTAACAAATCAACATATCTATGAATATTATATATCTCCCCAAAAGAGGCGTGGTTTGAGAAACAGCTGTATTTACAAAGTGCAACCTATAGACTGAATATGGCTAGAAAAAAAATCAACCAAGAAGTGTTTTGATTGTTTACTCCGTCTTATTAAGAATAGGTGATTTTTTTTTATTCTTTTGCCATTTGTTTCCTATGAATTAACGAAATACGCTTTTATGTTATTAATAATATCATTTCGTCTTCCAGCTCCCTTTAACAGATATTAAGGCAATAATGGATTTACGTAGACGAATAGCAGTTGATACAGCCATAAACATCAGACAGGTATCACTCTTTAACGATGTTTTTATTTTCAATTAATTCTTTTTGAATTAATTTGTTTTTAAAGCTCTTCAACTTCCTTACAAATCTGGCCTTCTTCTGGTATGATTCCAGCGCCAGTGGAGAGTATTTTGTAGAAAAAATACTGAACACTAAAACCCTAAACAAAAGAACACTGCAAAACTTTCTTAATGTGATTTATCATCTTGAAATTAACTTATAGTTTGTCAAAATGAGCAAACATAATGACATCATTCTTCAAATAAGATGATTGATTGTTTAATGCATCAAATTTTAACTTGATCTTCTTATGAATGTCCTGAGATACGAATATTTTGTTTTAAAGAGAACTCGTATTTATTCACATAACATTTATGGAAATTTTGTGAATGAATACTAATTGATCTATATCTCTTCCTGATGATTCGTACACATGATTTTTATTTTTCTACCTTAGAACATACCAAAGATGGACAAGTTTCAATCAGAGCTGACCAAGTGTTCATTTAAAAAGGACAAGTTACTTAAACAAATATACGATACTCCTTTTTACGGTAAATGTGTATACTTATGCTGGTGTATGACCTTAGAGGAGCCCCCATTGTGTTTAGACAAAGAACCACCGAAAGGATCAGTCGTTGACAAAGATTTATATAGAGAATTTACCAAGGGAGGAAAAAGAATTGAATATTGTGTATGGCCACCATTACTTCTTAAGGAGGATGGCGAGATTCTAGTAAAAGGAATTGTACAAGTTCGTTGAGTAAATGTACATTCAGACGAGGGAATACTACCAAATAAAGCTAATAAAAAAGTACAACGTTATCCATTAAATGATATAGATAGCCCCATTTCCAATTTGAAAGATAACATTTTTTTAATTACAAAAAGAGGAACTACTTGAAGTCTTGTTGAAATGCTTCCTGTATGATACAAGGCAGTGTATTTTCTATAAATTCTTAGACTAGTTTATTTCCTTCTTTGTTTCTCCCAATTACTTCCATTTGTGCTTTATCTTTCAATGAAATTATTTGAACCTCTGGTTAATGAGAAGCAACATACTTTACCAATCTATTTTGAACACACGAACCAAAAGCAAGAAGTTCATGAGCTACTGGCAATTGGCAAACAGGTGTATTGATAACAAAAGTGTTTCATGCTTTACATGTATAACCTAGCAAGTCTAGACTCGGTCACAGTAAGGACACAATCGGTTGATTACAAATGTAGACTGCTGTCTCTAAATATAATAGATTGTTTAAATAAATCTTTTCCAGAAATTTCAATTGACAGTTAATTTATATTTGGATAATTGAAAATTTTCTTTTTTTCTTTCAAAGAAGTAATAACATAAACGGTATCAATTTGATTTATTGCACCAGATGTGATTTCGACAATTATGTCTTTTCGTTGATACTCCAGGCCAAACGTTTTGAAAGTTCCAAACCTAATGCAAACGTTGAAAAGCTGATTAAACAAGAAAGGATCAATATTAACCCAAACCAGGACGACAGGGAATCAGGGCTATGCATGAGGGAAATGCCTTCTTTATTTTTAAATGATTTAGAAATAATATAACAGCAAATTTAAATGAAACACTATACAAGTGTGTATAGGTTTGATCCAATTCAATTTTAGCCGTCGTATATGATGCGACTGTCATACAAGTGAGAGGTTTATGACAGTTGTTATCCATTCGTTTGATGTGTTTGAGCTTTTGATTTTACCATTTGATTAGGGACTTTCCTTTTTGAAATCCTCGGAGTTCAGTATTTTTGTGATTTTACTTTTTTGTAATTATCTTTGATTTAGATAAATATGAAATTAAATGTAAGTTATTAACATTCTAATATCATATTATACGATCCTTATATATTGTATACAAATGTAGGGGAGAACAAGCAAGGGTCAGTCTCACAATATTGTAGTAAATCATTGCTACTCCACGAAATGGAATATAACTGAATAAACAGGACTAACCTGTCTACGAGATCTGCTTGTAATTGGTTTGAGTTTTTCGTTGTGAAAATCGATTCTGCAGATTTCCATCTGATCTAAATATAAAAGATGTCCCTTATGAAAAGAGAAAGTTTGCTGCAACCTTGCGGTAAGTTTGCAGAAAATTTGCGGCAATCGTTTCAGTTCGCCAGAAGACCTGAAAGTCGTTCACCAGTGTTCGCCGCTAGCAGCGACCTTTCGGCGAACAAATGTAAAAGTTTGCCGCAAGTTTGCCGCAAGCTCTCACCTTTCTTAAAATTGAAGGAACTTTGTAAACAGACTTTACAGTAGGCCCCAAGTTTGCTGGAACTTCGCCGCAAACTTTATAGCATGCCTTTACCGTTAAATGTAGCTTATATCCAATACTGAGTATGCTCCATGCACTAAAACAAACTTCCTGCTTCTTTAAATTTGAAATAGGAGGGAAGTTATAATGTTGGTGTTTTCATGTAAAAAGGAAATGGATTTTATATATAATAGATTTTTGTGTTATATATGATTCAATTCCTGGAATAGGCAATGAATCATTGATCATCTCTCTGTAAGTCATTTTTTTGCATGTTAATTCGTTATTATTGGTACAAAATTTATGTGAAAGAACCCCCATTTTTGAAAATAACAATTGTGTTACTCCCTTACTGGCCTTAGAAATATCATTACAGTTGTAAACTTAAACTTTGTGTATAATGATGTTTTGCAGGATTTGTCTTCTAATCTGCAATTTTATATATGCATTAACATAAAAAAAATGTGTAAATACAATTTTATTTCTCCTTTTTAAAATTGTGAACATTTTCATGAATGTTTACAGAAAAATAAAACTTAAATCTGAGATCAAATTAAAAAAATATGACTATATGTAAAAAAAATTGTAATACTTTATTGTTAAACCACATTTGATTAATATTTTATATAATTTTACGCTTAATTGGTATATAAAGTATAAATGTTGTCATGCCTAAATCCCAGTTTCTTTATAATTGACCATTATAAAAACAGATTTGTTCTTGATTTTTTCATACATATGAATCTGTTAAGAAATTAATCAACTCATTCTGAATTCTGCACTGAGTAAATTAATAGATATACCTCTAAAATATATATATTTAGTTTTCTGTTGGTTTTTTTTGTGGTCACAATTTATATTTCTCTCTTTCTTTAAAAATAAAATTTTGATCAGCAGGTAAATAAAATTATTGGTCATAATAGTTAATACAATTCAAATTTGATCCCTATGTGCATGCATGTGTTTTGAATGAGACGTACAGTTTTGAAAAAGAATTAACAGAAAGGTTGCCACAAGGCATCATTAGCATATTTGATTTGCCGGAAGATCACCACAAACTATATAAGGCTATCAAAGTTTGCCGGAAATTCACCACAAAAAGTCGCCAGAAGTTCGCCAGAAACTATATAAGGCTATCAAGTTCGCCAGAGGTTCACCACAAATAGTCGCCAGAAGTTTGACACAAACTAAATAAGGCTATCAAATTTTGCGGCAGACTTTTGCATGGTAAAGGGTCGCGGTGAAGTTGCCGCAAACTATTTGCCGCAACCTTACCGCTTTGTTTGCGGCAAATCTGCGGTAACAGTTCGCCAGAAGGCTGACAAATTGACAACACTCAATCAAATCTAACAAGGAATTATACGGAGCCCCATAAATGCCAAAGATGAAATGTATAATATTTGTACGCGCGACTTTAAATCTTGTGCGCGCAACTTTTAAACTTGTGCGCACAACTTTAATTGGGGGCTCCGTAGAATCGTTTTGTCTTATTTGATTTGACCAATGTTGTCCACTTTGTTAAGAGATTTTGCAATTCTAACTTGTCACTCTAAATTGAATCTTTCTTATCACGATATCAGTTTTGATGGGGTTGGGGTTGCTCAGTCTTTGGTCGTTTCACCGTCTTTCGTTTTTGTCATGGTGATGTCAATTTCTGTTGGAACCATGAGTTATGAGGTAAAAAAGTATTTTATTGTTTCTTGTCATATTTTGTGAAATTTTTTCAGCTAGATAAAAGAAGATAGCAATAAGTAAATACACTTTGAACAAGAGTGCACACGCTGAAATGTCTCGCCTTCTTTACTAATCATTGATATTATGTTGATAGTCCTAAATATAAAGCTTTATTACAACTGTCACATAAACTTAACATTAACCAAGTAAACTAAACATTGACCAATAAACCATGAAAATGAGGTCAAGGTCAGATGAACCATGCTAGGCAGGCATGTACAGCTAACAATTCTTCCATACAACAAATATAGTTGACCTATTGCTTATAGTTTAAGAAAAACAGACCAAAACACAAAAACTTAACACTGAGCAATGAACCTTGAAAATGAGGTCAAGGTCAAATAAAACCTGCGTGACTGACAAATAGATCATAAAATATTTCCATACACCAAATATAGTTGAACTATTGCATATAGTATTAGAAAAAAAGACCAAAACTCAAAAACTTAACTTTGACCACTGAACCATGAAAATGAGGTCAAGGTCAGATGACACCTGCCCGCTAGACATGTACACCTTACAATCATTCCATACACCAAATATAGTAGACCTATTGCATACAGTATAAGAAAAACAGACCAAAACACAAAAACTTAACTATAACCACTGAACCATGAAAATGAGGTCAAGGTCAGATGACACCTGCCAGTTGGACATGTACACCTTACAGTCCTTCCATACACCGAATATACTAGACCTATTGCTTATAGTATCTGAGATATGGACTTGACCACCAAAACTTAACCTTGTTCACTGATCCATGAAATGAGGTTGAGGTCAAGTGAAAACTGTCTGACGGGCATGAGGACCTTGCAAGGTACGCACATACCAAATATAGTTATCCTATTACTTATAATAAGAGAGAATTTAACATTACAAAAAATCTGAACTTTTTTTTCAAGTAGTCACTGAACCATGAAAATGAGGCCAAGGACATTGGACATGTGACTGACGGAAACTTCGTAACATTAGGCATCCATATACAAAGTATGAAGCATCCAGACCTTCCACCTTCTAAAATATAAAGCTTTTAAGAAGTTAGCTAACGCCGCCGCCGCCGCCGCCGCCGCCGGATCACTATCCCTATGTCGAGCTTTCTGTGACAAAAGTCGCAGGCTCGACAATAAAAACCGTACATTTGAGTGGATGAGAGTTTTTTTTTATTTAAAAACGCATATTCACTAGTAAATTAATTTTAGTCTGTAACGATCATTTTGATCTTAACATCATCTGATAAGTCTGCACAATAACGCATTAAGTCATTTTCAGTCTTTCAGTTAATTTGATGACATTTTTTTATTTTTCAAGATGAATCATGAGAAATTGCATAATACAGTAATAGACACAAATTATAAAAATTAAGAAACACTTGTAAACTTGATCAAGTTAAAAGGATATAACAAAATATATTACGCTTGATTTTGTGAATTAAGTGGCGTTTCTAACAATTGCTGCTTCTGATCTATTTAAACTTTTTGTGCAGATGTTAAGAAACATACAGAGTATATGTTAAATACTCCATCCCACCATATTTTGTGGGCAATATGTCTTACATCTACATTTGTATATATAGTATTTTAGTAACAGTGGTAAACAAACATCTGATAAAGTGGACTGGTATAAAAACCTATGATAAAGTGGCATGAAGACATAGAAGTCAGGACTCTACTTCGTCAAAATTATGTCGGCATTACGCCAGCTTATTTTTACAATCGTAAAAATGGAAGCCATTGTAGGGATGACGCGCTGCCAATTTAGCTCTGGAAAACCGATAAATTTATCCAAATAGCACCTTTACGATCCTTATATGCCAGTTGTTTTTTAAAAGAATAATGTATCGACAAACTATTGAGCAACATTTAATATACTTTTCTGCATTTAGTCAACTTAAGGTTTATCATAACCTTTTGGCTAATATGGCCGTATTTACACCACAAATTTTACTCTGATCACAAACACACCTGTGCACCTGGAAAAGTTTTAAGGCATGACAAGAACTAGATAATTAAATTTTAAATGCATTTTATGTTTCAAAAATATATAAACTTGTCTGGATTTTGCTAATCATTTTTTTTATTCCTGCAGAAGGTGCCAAAATAAACTAAGTTGGGAAAGTTCGAGAAGCTCCCCTCATATAATAAATGTTGTGAGTAGTCTTGATTTTTATTTAAAAAATGGATAATAGATGGACAATAGACATCTGCAAACAATAGTTGATTTAAACTGTGTAACTGTGTGGACCGTATCAAATGAAACTCATGTGTTTGTTTATTTTGCTATCTTCTGCAGACTGGAAAAAATGTATATCAAAATCTAGGTAAGTTTTTAATTTTCTGAAACATAGACTACATAAAACTTTTATATATCCTGCCATGCCTTAAAACTTTCCTAGATGGATCATTTTGTCTGTACTCATAGTAGATTTTATGGTGTAAACAAGGCCATATTTTGTTAATTCCTTTTGATGAACCTTAAAAACTATTGTCCGATCGGTTGTCAGGGTGAATTTTCGCAAGTTCAAAAACAGTTAAAAAGTCTAATAAAAAATTTCGTCGAAAGGCAGACTAAAAATGTTCAGAGGTTAATGACTAATAACTGAGATAACATACACCAAATGATGTTTTTTTTTAAAGTTATGCATTTTAAAGTTCCACTTGTAAAGTCTGTCGTCAAGTACTCTTAGTAAAAGTTTGTTTTTCGAACACACATACTCTGTTGTTATGACTCATTAGAAAGGTATTTCACGGGACCGATATATTTCATTTTTATTACTGTGAGTGTTTAATGTTATAAAATCAAGCTGTAGCCTAAATATATAAAAATGATAGAAAGTCTATAATTTAAAAAGTTTACAAATGTCTCGAAGCTCCATACTATAATTTGAGTAAAACACGTATATACGATGCATAAAATCCTAAATTATGCACTCTCATTAAACGATGTTTAAATGGTTGTATTTCGTAGATGTCACATGCGTTTCCATTTATTTTTCATTAAAGCAATTCTAAAATTAATTTCTGTATCTTATAGGATGGAACTCTACTTCATTCATCAGATTTATTGGATAAGTCTATTTGTTATTTCCAATATAGTTTGCTTCACGAAAAAAAAACGGAATAGGGCAAAATATTTGTTTCTGAGCCAGGCTTTACATATTGCTTTTATTTTTATGAAATAATACATTTTTGTCTAGTACAAGAAATTTTTAAAGTGCTCCAGTGCCTTTTATAGCTGACTATGCGGTATGGGTTTTGCTCATTGTCGAAGGCCGTACGGTGACCTATAGTTGTTAACGTCTATGCCATGTAGTCTCTGTCGGAGATTTGTCACATTGGAAATTATACCACATCTTCTTATTTTTATATCCATACTTACTTATCAGAAAATTTTTATAGGTCAAGGGGATAATACAGAGTGTACAATTATCACGCACATTTGTACTATATTACTTATTTTGGTAAGAACGATAACAACTGAAGCAGTATTAAACACATGAAGTGACATGCAAGTACAAAGTGTTTTTATGATTTTTTGCATTGAAATGAGTCGACGGGATGAAGCTCGGTAGGCGTAATTTCCAACGCCAGTTCTAGCCTCAAAAACCTTTTGTCAATGTTTTATGTGGAAAACAATTTGGTCGTACTGAATCACCTCCTCTCCAATAGTTTTGTTTTTAAAGATTCATAAAATAAAAATCGTAATGCGTGCCAGAACGTTTGAAATTGAGTCTCCTTCCGAACGCCACATAGATTACTGAAAATCCTACACAGAAAAGCAGAACAGGAACTACAAAGAAAGTGATTCAAAATGAATACATTTTGGTTGATATTAAATTGTTAACTAGTTGTTGAATGCATTAATGGTATAACAGTATTTCAGTTCCTGATTTTATAAAAGACATTTACATTGCTCCATATGAATGCATTTGTCCATCTATAGCTAGTTGTTTTATAACAATTGTTGTTGATTCTGGCGTTGACACTAACTACTGGATATGATTTAAATCGCTTAGCTGGTTAGGAATAACGTGTCAATGTACCTTGTCCCGTCTGTTGAAATATTATATTGCCATGTTTACAGAAATCATGTTTGATTTTAGTTTTAATTAATCTATTTCCATACTAATCAAATTTACTGCACAAAAAAAAAACATTATGATACACAACATATCACACAAAGAAGAAATAGTTGAAATGCATACGGAATGCACATCTGGATGAACCAATCAAACATTGTTAAATGCGTTAAAAATATTTCAAAATGTGGTTATCTTCCCAATCTTATGTCCTCTGGAAATTGACTCTTTATTCATGAAAATTGCTTAACACACTTTCAAAAAGGAATCATGCTTGAATATTGCTTTTTGTGCAATTGATCATTTCTTCAATGTTTTCTTTTTTCGGAATTTCACCCGCAATTGCCTCAGATATGTCGATGATTAATTTAGAAGTTTTATGTTTGTTTTTCTTGTGCACGTCAAAAGCAGAGTCTACTAACGTATAAATATCAAACGGAATCATCAGGGCGCCAATAATACCGCTGGGCACGTGCAGACTAGTTCCAGTTACTCGTAAAGCAGCACCGGTAATTCTGATTCCAGCTCCAACTCCTCCACCAACAAATCTTGCAGCTGATTCAACATTTGTTATACTTGTATTTATGAGTTCTTCGGTGGTTGTCCAGTTTAATTTGCTAATGTCTGATGCTTGTCCATGTGCGAAAAGCATCCAAAAGCGTACCCATTCCGGAAATTTCTTTTCTAATGTTCCAATGTCTTTCAACTTTTGCCCTAGTTCCAAACATCTTTCTTTGATATATTTAATTCCTGAGGAATATTTTGCCAATTCGACCTCTGCGTTTGTCTTTGTTTTTTTTGACAGAACGTTATCTGCAATAAATGACCCCCCAACAGTGGCTCCACCTAATCCAGCGACAACACCACCTGTCAATAATAGTATATGCAAATTATGAGATTGATAAATTTATGTTATTGTTGTTTGTTGTTTATGTTTTCGTCGTTTTTCTTCTTGGCCATGGTGGCGCTGTCTGTTTTATAAAATTTACGAATTTTGATTACCCCCTTTTTATCTTGTATCTTTTTTTTTTTTATCTTATCCATGGTTATCTGTGAAAGACACTCGGTAAAAAGTAAAATAAATAATGATTTTCATTCAAATGTTTGTAGAAATAAAATCAATAAATTATAGCTCCCATAAAAGCAGCAATCCTTTTCAAACAACACCCTGAAGACACCTAAGCTCTCGTATAATATATACACCCTTTATGCATAATAAAAGTGCTTGTGAGCAAAGAAGGGTAAAGATTGCTTTCATATTGCATTTTTTTTTTAATATAAAATAAAACATTGCATTGAATTATAATTCGTTAGGTCAAATTTGAGTTGATGTTATCTTCCTTTGTTCATGATTGTACATTTGCGTCTATTTTTATAACAGATTCGAACACCATGAATTACTTATGTAGATTTCAATAAAGAAATTTAAAGTTTTCTTAAAAAGTATGGAAATGAAAAGTATGGGAATTCAAATACTCATTATATTGTAACTTGAATATCTAAGTATAACATATCACTTATAAATTGTGTGAAATTGACAAGATAGGATCTAAAGAATGATCACTTTACTCCACTATTTTGTTTGACATATCAAAGGTAGTGATAAACATTGGAAAGATTTAGATATAAAGTCAGTACATCATTTAAATGTTTGAAGAAATAAAATCAATAAATTATAACTCCCATAAAAGCAGCAATCCTTTTCAAACAACACCCTGAAGACTCCTTAGCTCTCGTATGATGTATCAACTTGATATATACACCCCTTGTGCAAAATCAAAGTGCTTGTGAGCAAAGAAGGGTAAAGATTACTTTCATATTGCAATTTTGTGAATATAAAATAAAACATTGAATTGTAATTTGTTAGGCCAAATTTGAGTTGAAGTTATCTTCCTTTGTTCATGATTGTACATTTGAGTCTATTTAATTAACAGATTCGTACACCATGAATTTCTTATGTAATTTCAATATAGAAAAGTTTTCTTGAAAAGTATTGAAATTCAAATACCCATTATATTACAACTTGAATATCTAAGTATAACATATCGCTAATAAATTGTGTGAAATTGACTAGATAGGATCTAAAGAATGATCACTTTACTGCACTATTTGGTTGAACTATCATGGGTAGTGATAAACATTGAAAAGATTTAGATATCAAGTCAGTACCATCATGCAATCTTTACCCCAAAACTGAAACTTATGCAATGAGATATCTTAGCAATCCTTTTGGCGAAAATGATTAACCTAAATCAACCACGATGTCGATTCGATATTTAAAATATTCAACATAAAAAAAATGTTTATGGAATATCCTTCATCAGATACGTTCACCATCGATACCAAAAGTTTGGAAACGTGAAACTTTAAGAGCGTTAAACGAAAAGTTTACAAAAAGTAATATCCAAGCTTTAATTGTATAAGCAGTAAAAGCGTATCAAGTATATAGTATTTATTTAATTTTCAGTGGGAGCGATGCGAGCAACAAATACAACACTTTTCAAATATTGAAATTGGTTATCAAAGGTACCAGGCTTATAATTTGATACGCCAGACGTGTAAGAAGTCTGCATCTTACTAATAAAAAAAATAATCGACTATCACCAATAAAAGGACCACCAAGTGAAACAAATAGTGTGTCATTACAAGTTAGAATATTAAAAAAAAAAACACTATAAATTGCATGCTTCCGAAGCGCTTTTCTAGATTAACATTCATCAGGAATGTCCATAGCCGAATATTTGAAAGCCAATGATGTATAAAGACAACAACAGTTGAAGAGTTATATGACCAAAAAAGACTTAACAATTATAGCCAAATCCATCACCTTTGCATGAGGGAGTGGACACTTTAGTATCTTCATTTTCAAGCATCTTGTCTTCCTGTTTGAATAATTTTACACTAGTTATTTTTGGGGCCCTTTATAGCTTGCTGTTCGGTGTGAGCCAAGGCTCCGTGTTGAAGGCCGTACTTTGACCTATAATGGTTTACTTTTACAAATTGTGACTTGGATGGAGAGTTGTCTCATTGGCACTCATACCACATCTTCTTATATCTATTTGAGCGTCACTGATGAGTCTTTTGTAGACAAAGCGATCTTTGGCGTACAAAAATTTAATCCTGGAGTTTATTTGTACCATCTCTGGCGTGTCTGAAACAGTAACAGTAGTAAAAAGGTGAAGTTTAGGAGTCATTTTGATAATTTCTTTGAAGTTTTGAGACACCAAAGGCCTCCTTGCTTTGATTCATGATAAACCACAAGAAGTAATTTTTCGGTTATGTACCCACTTTTCCTTTCTTGCTGTAACTCTATAGCGTTACTAACGACGCACGTTTTATCCCGCCTTCCGCTTAAGGTGTGCGATATCGCATTATTCGTCTTAAAATTTAAGCCAATTTAATAGGCAAAATATGTTTATTTTTTAAGTTGGCTTACATTTTGAAGAAAAGTGCATGCTTTCTCGCAGTAACGTTGTCTTATTGCGCACTCACAAACTAGTTTGACTCGGATGATATGAATGGTTAATGTCCTGATTTTCGTCATGGTTTTTCATGTCTACTTTTTAATTAAGAATTTGGTGACATATATGCTTTATATATATATATATATATATTTAACATGATACGTATTTATTATAAGGTTAAATCCTAACAATCCTACTGCCTGTCGATACTTTTATTTTGGCATTGCACAAGTCATGTCTTCTTAGACTGTCTATGGCGTTAAAACACTAAATCCCTGGGATGTGTGTTATTTGATTTTAGTCTCTGATGCATGATTTTTTATTATTAATTGTTTTTGGCTTTTAACTAGCTTTCATTAACTGCGAGTACTCTCAAATCATACTTTTGTGTTAATTTGACCTGTTGACACAATTTGTAATCCATTTATGTTATTCAATATTTACTTATTTTGTGTTATATCTCGTCTTACTATTTTTAACCCCTTTTTGTACCCCCTTTGATAAGTATTTAGTATGACGATAAATTTTCACTTCTGTACTATGAACAAAAAGTTTATTTATTTTGTAAAAAATATTTCCGTACTCCTAACACCAAAAATTATTATATTCAAATTTACCTGTGTACATTATTATATTTAACGCCATTTTGTCTCAGGGTAGAGTTGTCTTTTTGACATTGATTTACATCCCGTTTTTTTTTATTATCATAATTGTATTTATATTGTGTCATAGATCTAATTTATTCGTTCATTGTATATTTACTTGTTTTTGTTAATATGTCTTTTTGATCGAGTTAAGCCATTTCAATTGTGTTTATAGTGTGTCTTTCTATGTTGTAATGTTACTCTACTGTTTCATGTTATGGTGTAGGTTTGCGCCTGTTAAAACGTTAAAACCCGGTACATTTGTATGCACCTTTCCTAAGTCAAGAGCCTGTGGTTGTCGTTTGTTGATGTGGTTCATATATGTTACTAGTTTCTCGTTTTTTTATATAGATTAGACCGTTGGTTTTTAATTTCGTAGGTGGTGACCAACTAAACTGTTTCGATAGCAACAAAGCTCATATAACATGCTATAGTAGAAAAACAAAAGATATGGGGTATCCATCCATGACACAAAATCAGTAAATGCACAACAAAAAAACATACAAAAAGCAAAGGAACAGCGCTTTTATTGCTGTTCTTCATCTCAAAGTCACATTGAGACCTCAACACGGAGCTAAAAAACTCTCACCTCACTGCAAGTTTAAGACAGTCCCTAGCACCGGCTTAAGCGAAATTCTTTGCAAAAATAATTTGGATAGACTTTGTTAGATGTAACACCACCCAATCGGGCCCGGTCGAAAAAGAACATACTGGAAAGTAGTACATATTTAAAACGAAGTAGTTCTTACGCACAGGTGTAAATCTGAAACTATGTAGCATATATTTCAGTAATTAAAGTATCAGATGAAAGGTGAAGGACTGGTGATCCTTGTAGAGCACACAATTTACTGATAATTTTAAATAATACAAAAATGTATGATTGAATTCTAAAATTGAGAGCATATATAGCCTGTTTCTCAGATATGAAGTGACTGGTTTGGTGTCTTCAAAATTCCGGTAACCGTGCAGTACGGTCTGATGTATAAATATAGGTATATTGATCCCTCTTCCATAAAATGTTTTGAAGTGAAAAATTTAACGTGGACAGGAATGAGGGCCAAGAATAGGTGGTCTGCGTCCTATTAAAATTTTAGTAAATAAACTGTCCTAAAATTGAGAGAATGATGTGGCACACATAAGAGAAGTTATCCCAAGAATAAATACACCATAACTTTAAAAATACAGAAGAGCCAATAATTATAGGACAATGACCTAAAATATGGCGTCGTCGTTGTTGGCGTCAACAATTGCTAAATTTACGATTTACGAAAAACAAATATGATAGACATGAACCATTGACAACCAATGAACTACAGGCTCCTGCCTCAAGTTAAGTTAGTTTGATAGGAACTACTTGTGACTCGCACGCACGGGAACGCACAAAAAGGGAAAATTAAAAAAAAATCACATGTTATCACATTTTCGAATTCCATAAACATTTATGTATGTTGTAAGCTGGTGGGTAAACAAATGATATATTCTAACTAAATTGATTCGTTTAGAAAGAGCCACATGTTCAACTATATATACAATTATAGCCTTTGTTTGAGGTTGATACTTATCAATTATGGACTTTTGGCGAGGTCAATATGTTATATATGGACATGTTCATATTATATTGACCGAGGACACAATATAATCTAACAGGTCCATATATATCGTATTGACTGAGTGAAAAGTCCTTAATTTTTATATTACATGTGTAAATAATGTATTAGGGAAATGGACTTCAATGTTCTTTCTGCGTATTTTTGAGTTGTATTTTGCAAGATTTTTCACATGCCATTGAAAATATCAATAAATAAGATGAACTTGTTTTATCATTGTTTATTGTAAACAAACACATAACATATTTTATTTTTTTTTCTGTTTATAACAAATAAGAATTCAAATTATATAATTTTCGACTGCTGCGGTGCTTCTCTCGTGATTGTTATGTGTGACGTCATGACATAGAGTAATTTCGGAACGGAACGGTTTTTATCCGGATCTAAATTTAGCAAGATTTTTAATATTGACCGTCAATGTACTAACATATAAATAGAAACATAGCGTCAATATACTTAAAAATAGAAACAAGGCTTCAGATGCATAAAATAACCTTTGAAACATGTGATCGTAATAACCAATGAAAAAAGTAGAATGCTACACCATATGTAATATAAGGATATATTGACCTGAAAGAAGTATATTGACTGGGGACGAAGCCAGAGGTCAATATACTTCTTTAGGTCGATATATCCTGTATTGACCTCATGGAAAGGCTATAATTGTTATTTATTAACTGATATGAGCAAATCAGCCCTAATACGGATAAATCAGCATATGGAATACTGATGACGTTGCCCTGTTGATATAAATCAAAAGTTCATATTGCTTTTCGGACCGGTCCAATACGGAAAAAAGCCGTATTGGCCAATGGGTTAATACGGAACGTTCACGTCCGGTTTCAATTTTCTTATGCCTAAGCTTACTTAACTTTGGACGTTTCGTTCTGCATAAAATGCATTTGTATCATATTTTTTAAACTTAAAATAACATAAAAAAAGTTTAGAGAAGTTCTGTGTTTTCTAACGTCTTGAAACGGAAATATTTCACAGCCTTTTCGAGTAAAACTTTCGATTATTATCACTGTTTCATTTCCGTTGATCAATTATCATCAGAATGCAGACGATTCAATGTTAAAACTGTCTGATTTATTCTTCCAAGCTGCATAATATTTGCTAGATAAAATGAATTGTAATAGCATGAGATTAAGTACTTGGACGAGAAATCATGAATTACATCAATGTTGACAAAATATCCATCGTGACTGCGCAAAGACAAGTTCAGATATGAATTTCTGTATCTTCTTCACGGTAAGTTTCTAATTTTTATCAAAGAATTAAAATTATTTAATAAAATTGTTATGAACTGGTTGTTTCTGTATTGACGCTGTTATAGATTCTCGATCAGATGTATTGGCCCTCGACTCTTTGAGTCTCGGGTCCAATACAGCTTACCTTGAATTTATAGGTTGCACTTTGTAAATACAGCTGTTTCACAACTCACGCCTCTTTTGGGGAGATATAAAATATTCATAGATATTTTGTTTTGTTTACGTACTGGTTCCCAGATATGATCTCTGTGTTTCATCTCATATAGACATAACTTGGAAATGTTACCAGCATAGAAACACATGGTAGCGCCGACAATTTAATTCTGAGGAAGACCTGAAGTGAAGGTAGGGGTAGTACAGAATTTTATTATAAGTTTAAACTCTTAGAAATTCAGGGCATTTAAATGTTGAAAATATGCCGCACAGCCCTATATTTTGACCTTTGAATAATATGTAGTGCATATCAACTTTCAGTTCTAGGATATAATTTTTTACGAATCTTCATAGTTAAAGTAGCACAGTTTTAACCTCAAAGAGAGTTCCTATGGGAAATTGAATTGTATATTTACGGAATTGCAACCTATATTGGGTAAAAAAAGAGAACATATAGAATTTCACCAAATCTGGTTTATCTCAAAGATTTAAAGGAAATTATCTCAAAAACAAAGTTTTATAAATATTTCATGAAGATTGAGAAAATCCTGGGCTTTAACTATAATGACTCATCATAAATTCACAGTTTACAGTATGCTTAGTTTACTTAAAGACCTGAATGCAAAATAAATTCATAATATATGTATATTTGTAATTTAAATTGTTTATAAGTGCTTATATTTACTCTTCGCAGTCATTAAAACTCATAGATCCTTCATGAATTTTGTTGTTGGGGTGTTTTTGTCCCGTCGATAACCCAAAAATAAGCCGTAACACCTAAATGTGTTTTTTTGTGATCGCGGCATAAAAAAATACAAGCTAGAGATACAAAAATACCTAAATAAAACTAACAATAGTGTGTTCTATCCTAAATATGTACTAAATATTCCATATTCACAGAAACAGCAGAATCATTTATCATATTTGAGGCCCCAGTGGCAAAAAACAGAGAAAAATGCCTACCCCCTGGGTCATAAAACAGATAATGTAACTTGTAAATGCTATGAATTTATTATTTTAAAGGTCTTTTCTACAGAATAAAATAACTGTGCTTTGAAATTATGCAAAAAACAGATGTTAGCAGTCAGTTCTATAAAACATTTAGTGAATTCATGCATCAGACTGGTCACTTCATACATACAACTTTTGAAAATATGGCTTTGTTTAAATACTTTTAGTTCATATATTAGCTAAAGTATGTTAGATATATGGTTAGAGATAATATTGTTGTAACAAGATTTCTATACTGACCATTTGAGGCAGAAATTGAGAACTTTTATTGACAAATAGGCATACAGTAAGATGTGGACTGGAGACAAAGGCAGGATTTGATACGTTATATAATCTTGAATGTTGGAATGATTAACTACTAAACTTTACATTTATAGTATTCTGAAATGCTTTCATATTGTTATCAGAATAGTTTCAAACAGGTTCTAGACATTTCATGTTAGAAAGCATGCACTTTGGGTAAGCTGACAATAATAACAGTCTTGTTTTCAAATTCTTAAAAAAAAAGAAACAGGGGTAGGGGTATAAAATGTACTGTAAAAGAAAAGTAGTGTGTTTGCAGTGATTTCTTTAGGGCTCTAATTCTGATAAATAAATATTGTTGTGAGAAAAAGTGTTTTTCAAGAGTTTTCTATTTGAATAAATGTTAGTATAACAGGTCCAATACAGAAACAGCCAGTTAATAACACCATAATAATTAATTTCGGACCATATTGTATCAAAATCGTCAGTGCATTATATTCTTAGAGAGAAACTTAACAATATCGTGAAATTCGTTAGATGACGTCACAAAGTATATCGGTTTTTAGATCTTCAATATAACTTTTCTATCCGCCGTTTTCAATCGACTTTTGAAAATATAGTTTAACATGTACTATTCCTGAACGAATGAAATTAGTCAAAATACATTAAATATACAAATTAATAATATTTTCAATTGTAGATTTCTGAAAACAGAAGATAGAAAAATGATATTGCACGGTTATTTTTAGAATATCTTACACAATCAAAACAATCCAAGCAATAACTGTTAAGACAAAATAATGTCATTTCCTAGCACTTGACATCATCAACTGTGACTTATCACCGAATCTTGATTTGCCATGGCAACACGACGGCTGCTCTATTTGAGCAGGAACTTATAACCCTTCTGGATGTCATCCTTGAGTTTGGTTTGGACTTATTTCTAAATATATAGTTTTCTGTGAAGTGTAAGTATGTGTCCTTTTGTTTGCAATTGCGTTCTTTTTCTCTTTGTAATTTCGACTAATGGATTTTAATTGCCTGGCTAAGATGTTTAAAGTATTTTGTTTATAAATTTAACGCTGTCTTTCATTTTTTATACGTATATCTTTTTTTTTTCTTCTAAATTCTTTGATCACTGCAGCAGAAGTCATATCACAGAAATTATATATAATACATTATAATTTTATGTTACCTGCAATAGACAGACCAAGCGATGCTCCAAATGTAACTGGTGTCAGTGCAAGACCAACAATGCCCAACACACCGCCTACAATACCCGCTGCCGAACCACCTATCTTAGTTTTTCTTATTCTTGAAAAATGTACATTGAGTTCTTCGGCCAAGGTTTGCAAAGTTTTAATGGCAGTTTCGCTATTCGCAACCCATTTTAAAAGTGTTTCCTCGAAGTTTTCCATCTCATTTCTAAGTTGCTGCCTGGAAACATAAAAGCTATCAATTATTGAAGGAAAACGGCTCGTATTAAATGTAACGATACTTTTTGATATGAATAGAAAGAATACGGAGTATATGTAAAAAAATTAAGCAACTCAACGACACAAATAAGTAAAACAGAAATTTTTTAATAGAAACATCCAGTAAACATGCTTTTTTGTCCCTCATATTTGTTTGATCAACGATTTTACATAGAATGACTATTAGTTTGACCTCAGTTTTCTGCTTTCAGTGTAAGGTTTAGATTTTGTTATGTGTACTATTTTAAAGTAAAACTGTCATTTATTGTTATCTACTAGTGACAAATACTCATGCATGTTCAGGACGAGATAAAAAAATGTTTAATGTAGATTATGTTGCGTTGGTGGAAAAAGATAAGGGTGGAAAATTCAGATTGCCACTTGAAAATAAGGTATCAATGATAGGAGTAAACATTATGTCTTGCATCAGGTCAATTACGGAACCGTCAAATAATTGTTGCACGGATTCAATAATGTCCACGAGACATCGTTTTTCACCTCCCAGTGCCGATAGCACGTGACTGCGTTTTTGTACATACCACAGAGGCATCCGTCTTTTGCATTGGTTTTACCACCGGTTGTTGTAAAAATGAATAACACCCTATAGTATATATAGTTCTAATATAATTCGTTGTTGAATGTCATATGATATTTATGCGTAATAGGTCAACAGGATTTTCATTTTAAGCAAATAAGATATGACTGCCCATTAACAATTGTCCATCTAAGAACAAATGACGTAGACGTCAGCAATCGTAGGTAACCGAAATGCTTTCAACAATTAGCAAAACCAATAAGTAAAAGAAAGATAGTAAAGGTCCAACATGACTAATAGTAAAATGTTTCAAGTAAGAAAAAAGGCCCGATTTATGACCAAAAAAAATATATGAAAATCAAATATGACAGCCAGCATCTACCAACAACCACTGAATTACAAGCTCCTGGTTTTGAACAGGCACATACATAATGTGGCGGAGTAAAACAGGTTTGCGAGCGCTTGAAACCCTTTTTCCTTATTTTGTGACAGTGGTATACCGGCGCAACATAACAAAACGCTGTAAAAATCAGACTTGTCATATTGACACGAAGCACAAAAACTGACAATAAGACAAAAGACACAAAGTACTAATCCAATAGTACTCGAAATTACTAAAAGCTATGTTTAAAATTTACATTCGATGTCAGAGTTTTTTTCGTCGAAAATGCAAAAGGGGAAAAGTTCTGCATTATCACACAACATAGTGTTAGTCAATTCATTTCACTTGTATTTCTCAAAGTATACACAACAAATCAGTCAATCATTGGGTTTTTTCTTGTCCCCAAAAAATACATAGCACAATATTTTGATTCAATCCTAAGTGCAACAAATAGTCTTATTTATACAGAGAAAAGTATTGGATACACAATTTTAAAGAAGACAGACTTCTTATATATACATATATATGTGAGTGTTACTTACATACGCGGGTCTTCGGTGTTTACCGCTTCGTTACCTGTGTTTTCAGGTAGGTTGTCTCGGTTTTGAGGTTGCGTTTCTTCTCGATAATTTGGGATTGCTACAAAAGCAACATTTCTTAAAATTTGTTTGCCCACTTGATTTTTTCATGCGTTTATTATCTAATATTTGTAGAAAAAGGTGCGGTTGTGTAGGAATGAAGTAGCTAAGATAATTTTACAGTACTTTAATTGCATCATACTCTATTGAAAATTTGCTAGTTGGGTACAGAAAATAACGGTACCTTATTTATTCCACCCTCGTTTGAAAGTTAGCAGTATGTTATAAATAGAATTGGTTAGTACTTGTTAGTAATCTAGACGATGAAATATACATTACTACATTATTATATATTCATTGTTTCCATAGTATCTTTTGATAAAGAATAATCTATATTTTAGATAAGGAAGGAGAGGGAAAAAAAAAAGAAAAAAAACACAGAATATGGATTTTTTGTATAAACAGTACATATATGCACAACGAAAATGTGTCTTACATACATAATTCAATACACTTAGCAAGAATGGTTTTCTTTCGTAAATTTTTTACAAGCACATAGAATTCGGAAAACATATATCTAGTTATAAGCACAAAAACAAAAAAAAAAAAAACGAAACAAAAAACAACAAAACAACAATGATAGAAAAACATATATAAATATAATATATAGAAAATACATGTAGATGGTGGTGTGGTTAAAATTTACTTTACCTTTTAAGGCTAAATACCGTAATGCTAAGTTCTTCTAGTAAAAACTATTCTAGTATTAGAAGCCAGGTGTTCCAGAAGATTATGGCCATGTGAAAAGGCTTACTTTAACAAAAAAATAAATTCCTTTTTAATATTTTAGTATTTTTCACTGAGATAATTTTTGAGTCTTCTAAAATTAACTTGATTTTCACAAAATTTCGTTCCAAAAATAAAGCATTTTGTAAAGAGTATTTTTAATTTCTTTATCTTATCATTTCTTGTTTTTCCTAAATTTCCAAATAAAATAATAAAATGGTATCCGTGTTTAATAGAGTTATCATTTGTAGGTACTATTTCCTAATACAAAAAACCTATTGAAATTTATACCTCTATCTACATTTCTTCTTTCTCTAGTCGTCTTTTGGTCGATAAAATGTCCTTTTATTATCAGACTTGACACAAAGGCTGCGAAAGTAATAAGACAAGATAAAATTACGTTAATGCACATTGTACAAAAGGAACTATTTGGTTCAAACGTCAAAAAAGTTTAGCCGTATATGTTAAAGTATGGTAGTTTTACCCATATCATAATTGTCGAAGTCTAATTAAATAGCATATTCTGTTTTATATCCTTCGTTCTTCGCGGCTTTCCCATTTAAATGTTCTTTTCGTGTTTGTGACGCAGCCAGATTTTTGGTCTGTTTAGATGTTTTGCACCAATCTCTCTGATCTTTTCTATACATGCCTTATTGACTCCATCTTATTATGGATTGTTTGATTCAATACTGTCTATTCCACTGTAGAATATAAAAATAAGAAGATGCCGTATGATTGTCATAGATACAACTATACACCAAAGTTCCAAAGTTCAAATAAAGTCGATGTAGACAATTATAGGCAACCGTACGGCCTTCAACAATGAGAAAACATATACCGTATAGTTGGTTATAAAAGACCTCGACATGAAAAATATGAAACAATACAATTGAGAAAACTAACCCCTGACTTGGGACAGGCACATACATAATGTGGCAGAGTTAAACATGTTTGAAGGCAACAACCCTCCCCTAACCTCTAACCTTGGACAAAGGTGCCACGGCACATCACAATAACAAACTACATGGAAGTCCTTAAGAATGAAATTATACATTCAATTACATTGAAGGCCGTACGCTCCACAGAGAGTCATATAGAAAATGATCATGTGACTACCACAGCTCAGCTTTAGGCCTCCTCTGAACATTTAAAGGTCCCACTATGTATTGGTTACATGAACTACACAAAAAACCCGTAAAATGTCGTTTCATCACGGCCTCTAGTAAGTGTTCTACTATTATCTTATGGTGCTTTTAACGAGTTCCTTAACTACTATCGAAGAACTTATCATAAATTTTTGTAATAAAACATATGAAAATAGTGGAATTAATCATTTTTGGAGTGTACACAATTCTTTGGATGTTTTAGATGAATTACTGTTTTTGATGGTCCTTTTACTAGTAATTCGGTTGACAGTTTTGACTTTTCCACTCTTTATACTGCACTTCCACACAATCTTATCAAATAAAAGTTTTCCTATCTAATTAATTGGTCTTTTAATAAATCTGATTGCACATTTATTTGCTGCAAGTCATATAAAGCCTTTTTCTCGAATGAGAAAGGTAGATATGCTAGATATACTTACTGAAGGTGTGATGCGATGATTAAAGCCGTAAATGTTCTTCTTGACAACATTTATGTACGATGGGTGCCACATATGAAGCAGGATATGCTTACCCTTCAAGACCACCCGAAATTACCTCCAGTTTTTGGTGGGGTTCGTGTTGCTCAGTCTTTAGTTTTCCATGTTGTGTTTTGTGTACTCTTTACAGTTGTTTGTCTGTTGGTGTTTTTCTATTTAAGCCATGGCATTGTCAGTTTATTTTCGACTTATGAGTTTGAATGTCCCTTTGATATCTTTCGCCTCTCGTTTACTCTAAATTCATTGGATGTTGGATGTGTACTGATTGATATTTTTGTTTACCCGGATCATATCTAAATTTCCGGCAAAAAAACGAAATATTAAAAAAAAAAAAAAACAAACAAAGTGGATTATGGAAAAAAACAACATCTCTTAACTAAATATTATCATCCTTCCCTACCGCTATATCAGCTTCCTCAACATATCTGTAAAACTCGTATCCAGTTAGCGCGAGCAACAATGTGCAAGTGAGGAGACATTATCAAGTGAGCAGGACTTATCAACAAACTCTCCCAACATATTGCCTTGTATTGTAATGGTGATAAGTCACCAAATAAATTCTTTTAATAAAATAAATTACACTTGCAGTACATATTTTACAATGAACCATTTCTTTTTTCCTAAAATTACTTTACATTCAATGATTCTGAAACGAGATGTTGATAAAATGGTGTCGACGGCAGTCTTGATAAGTTCTGCCTGGACTACTTTTTTTCAGAACTGAACTATTTGACCTAATTTGAACTATTGATCTGACCTGTATTGAGATCAATCTAGCGATACAAATGTCAACAATGCGGGGGTGGCAGTTTAAATTATTAAAACCATTTATAGTGAACATAAATCTGTCTTTCTCAAATTAACTTCTCCTTTACGAATTACGACTACTTAAATATATATGTGTACTTTTAGTCTTGAAAACAAACAGCATTTTGATGCGTTTCTGGTATTTGTTTATGAAGCGTATGCTGTTCAGCAGTCAGCGAGTAAAAATTTTCTTCTTCTGGTGATATGAAATACTACGATCTTTTAATATAATCTTTAATATTTCTTTTTTTTTGTATCATCTTCAAATATTATACTCTCATATATGCATTATCATGAACACGAAACATTTTTCTTCCTCTAGTTAATGGGAATATTTTACTCTGCGTATTTTGGCCACAAGGTGTATCCGCGGTTTAATATTTTGATGACGTGTGTTGCCGAGTAATAACAAAGACACTCTGGTAATAACAATTCCCGCGAAATTATTGAAAAAGGAAATTTTGATAAAAAACATTGCTTTGAAAGATGATAAAAATGTTATTTGAATGTGGATTGTATAGATATTGAAAAATATTAGCCCCCTCGACAGAATATGAAGCTAAATGGCTCGTTCGCTACGCTCACTCGACATTTAGCTTCATATTCTGGCTCGCGGGCTGATATTTTTCTATATCTACATATCCACATCCAGATAACATGTACTTATTTTTTTCACCTAACGTTGATTTAATAATAACTATTCTGAAATAGGAAGCCATGGCTCCCAGCAGATACTGGTAATGTCAAGTTGCTTATTTAAGAAAAATCTTTCATTAAAGAAAATCTCTCGAAGAAAACTTCTAATTCCTATAAAATTTAATTGATTTTCACTAAGTTTTGTTCTAAAAAACAAAGAATCGTGTCAACAGTATAAAGATTTTTTTTATATCAAACTTTCTTGTTCTTCTAAATTTCCAATTATATATACATAAATGATATTTACATTAAGTGAGATAATTGTTATAAATCCATTCACTCAGTGTTCTCCATAGTTCTGATTTTTTGTGGCATGTCCAAAACATAAGTATCAAAATATCTTTTTGGGTAAAGTGTTAGATCATATCTAAATATTAATATAAAATCTCAGAATAAGGCTTTTTTGGCAGATTTTGATATTTTTGCACGTATTGTTTTAAGCCTTAAATATGTTAGACAAAATTCAAACTATAAATACTAATATCTGTAAGACTAATATCTTATTAGCATATGAGTGATATTGCATGTACATGATCGATTTTTGATGATTCTAATATTCGAATTCAATGGGCTAACAACAGTGGCAAAACTGATGTCGCGATAACAATAGAAAAAGAACTCTTAAAGAAAATGTCGACAAAGTCAATAGTTAAACAATGATGATTAAAACTTATTTCTAAACAACAATCGTACATTTTAAAGAAAGTAATAACTATTTGTTAAACAGTTTTATTAGAAATATGGATGCAAATACATGATGCTTTATTTTCATTTTTTGTCGAGATAATTGCATTAGGAGCTTGTGAAACTGAAATTTAAAAAAAATGTAAATCTTTGCTGCCTATTGATAAAAAAAAAATTATGCACATACAAATTATAAAGATCTTTCCGGTCACCAATTTTGGTGTGTTCCACATAGTGACATAAGTCCTTAGCATGTTACAATTTCCAAAACTATACACATTTTCCTCATCTAAGTTTTCGAGTACACCGGTCTGCTCCTCTCATGTGAACTTAAAATTTGGAAATAATATCTTTACGTGAATATAATGATTTAAAAGTGCATTTTAAACTATGAATCTTCGCTTTATATCGATAAAAAAAATTAATATTTTCACAAAGGAGATAATCAATTAAAAGATTTGTACTATTTTGTTCAATTTTAAGAATTAGTCGTACATTGTATCGATGTTTTTCACATTCAATGATTACATCGGGATAGGGTTCGTTTGAATTTACTTAGTAGCTTAATCTAAAAATGTTAATCTTTGATGCATATCAATCGATTCTTTTGGTATTTGGTCCTGAACTTCTATGATCTAGCTGAATACATAAAAGGATAATTGGCAAGTTCGAGAGAGGTATACAGCCAGAAGAAAAACACATTGAAGTGGGTACTCCAGGAATTTATTTGCATAGCAAAATTTTAAACCAATTTTACACGAAGCTGGTGTAGACTGCTGTACTCGTCGTTTTCTATTTAAGGAGGAAAATGATAACATTATATGGGAAGTTTGTTTTCATTTCAATCTATTTTATTGTTCCTATTTACCAGAATGTTTTCTTGTGAACATACAAGTAGCAGCGTCCTTGTTAAAACTAGACAAACATTGAAAAGATCAAGATTTCAGATTTTAATGGGGAGGTAATCTTTATACTTTGTCATTATATTTCCAACTGAAAAGTCGTCTTATCGCATCTTCTACTTTAGTCTTTAAAGTTTTAAATTCGAAATTCGAAATCCAAAGTATTATAGAAAAGCTTATTAATTGCAAAATTGGACATGCGAATGAAAGCTTAATAGTTTACTAGCTTAGTAACGGATGTGTAAATATATGTAAACAGAAAAATTACCTGCTAACATAAACAATTCATATAAAAAAAATTCTGGACTTCCTTACATGTAACAACAATTATGTGTTCATTTGCCAGCGTCTGATATAGTAATATATATAGGATGCGCCATGCTTTCCTTTTGGGGGTTAATCATGAGGACTGTGTTGAGTATTGTCCGGATAAATAACCGATGATCGTTAAACCTTTAACGACGGATATGCTCCAATCGTCGTTACCACAACCCGCCCTTCTTTCCCCCGAATGTTACCTGACGAATTAGACTTATCATGAATTTGTTAATGCAGCAAACACGAATTAGGAAAATAGCGGTTTATGTGTCAATCACACATACAAATATGTGATTTTAAAGGGCCCTTGACTCCAAAATGAAAAGATGGTAGCTGCTGATGTAAGTATGTATATTTTGATATCGAGCGGTGTTTTACTACATGTACTTCTTTACTTGGTAAGATGACATAATAAATTGACGAAAAACAGGCATACATAAATAAATTGCATTAGAAGCTTTTAATTAAATATTTTATAATATTCTTCAATTTCACGTATAGGCATTAAAAAGCAACTAGTAATAGATCAAAATAAAGATAAAGGTGGCACTTTCCCTTCAGACATTATCACGGGTTTTCAATTCTAGATGAAACGGATCAAATTCCTTAAGAAAGTTAAAAACCTCATCATCAAGTTGCCTTAATTTCCCTTCACAAGGTTTCATAGCACATACTTTTTGTGTACAAAGTAATTGCATGGATGATAAATTATCACAATTTTAAGAAAGCATTGTTCTCTAATCAAGGTAGTAAAGACCATAATTGTTATTCTTTATTTAAATGATACAAACTTGTAATTGTCAAAAATAGTTTTTAAAAGCAAGGATTTTAATAGCAGGATGTATAAAAATCAACGTGAAAACTAATAACAAACATCTTGTTTTAAATTTTGAACACATCATCATATTCAAATGCCAGTGCCAGTGTTTTTCATATCAATGAAATCTACCCTTGTGTTCATTCATGTACTTAGTACACGGAAAAAGTATGTATGTACTATGAAACTTAGAAGGGACATTCAAGCAATTCGATTGGACGAGAAGTTGTAAGTATGTGCTAAGAGAAATAGGTTAAACATCTCGTGAGAATTGGATATCGATTGATATCAACTCTCGTTATTTCATATAGATAGTGAAAATAAACTCGATGAACTCTGGTTTATTATTATATTAAAATAAAATAACTCGAGTTGATACCAAGCGATATCAAATTCTCACTCGTTATCAAACTTATAAATATTGTACAGTAATTAAAGAAGATGCGGGTTATACGCCAACGAGTCATCAACTAATCGACGAGGGCAAATAAAAAAGATTTAAAAACTAATACTTACTGTCTTGAATGATAGCAATGCATATGTGATAGTCTCTTTATTTTTTGTATATTTGAATTATAATATAAAACTACAAAACATATTGTCTTTTCTAAATTTTGATTACATTGAAACGTTTCCATACATTTTTGACGTATTTGGTGAATATTCATGATTATTTGGATTTCAAGTAAACTAATTAGTTGGTTTTAAGTTTTAGAGCTGAGTTGTGAGTTTCTTTGTTTGAGTTAGAAGGACTAATAGATTCGAACATAGACGGATGGTTATGTCCAGTTGCCATTGAAATTATTGAGAATTTATAGAAAATAGTCATTATTGTATTGAAATGATAGACTTGACATTTTGACGTGAGTTTTTCTTGTTTACTTCTTCATTAATATTTCTGATATATTTTCATAGAGTGAATGATTTTTGGTATGAATGGTTTTTTTTTATATGAAGCCCAAACGTCAGCTATTATATTTGGCGCCCACTACCGGTGTTTGATAGCACAGATCACGACTATGGAGCAATCTGATGATTTTATCTACGATGTTAATAGTTACCACGTGTTACCGGAAAATGGTTTATTGTGATCACATGAGATGTCCACCACGTGTTTATGTTTATCAACAAAAGACCACATGTGCGTGTTACGTCAACCGGATGTTTATATTCTACTCAGAAAGACAACACTACAGTTCACTATATATGTTCCGAAAGTTACTTAAAATAGTAATCGAACGCTTTGAATTTTGGAAAAAGAACTTGGTTATTTTGTGATTGTGATTTTGAAATTAATTTATCGTAAGTTAATATTGTGGAATAATTTGTGCATATATATTAGCAGATTAGAATTACATTTGAAGGTAAATCATTTATATATCATTCCTGTATACATTTTAATGTTTTATTTAAGAAATAATTCATGGAAGCCATAGATTTGTTGGACATTTACACATGGCCTGGGCTGTGATATTCGAATTTTATCCTGAGCGTTAGCGAGGGATAAAATTAACGAATATCACGGCCTAGGCCATGTGTAAATGTCCAACAAATCTATGGCTTCCATGAATTATTTCGATTCTAATAGGACAAATACGGTAATTAAAAAACTGAAGCGAAGGTAAGATTGTCGTGTGTATGGCTGTTCTATTTTACCCCCTGTAAGATAAAAGCTACAATTTTCAAATAAATCTAAGTCTTACATGAATTATTTCTTAAATAAGCACAAGAAAAAATGTGTTCAATTCTCATAATTCTTAACCCAAACACTTTTTTTTCGTTGGCTACTATTTACAGTCAAATCCAGAGTTGACATGTCGTAACTAAGGAGTGAGCCGCCATGTAGCTTGCTGAAATCCACAAATGTGCAAATAATGCAATGGAAAAGAAAATGAAACAACGCCTACCTCAAAACTCCATTTTAATGCAATATTATCCGAATTTAGGGTGTATACGTAACGGAAAACCATCAGCTTGAGAGTTTTCATTCATGAAATTTCGCGGAATTTTATTTTATTTTGATTTTTTGTACATTTTTTAAGCTCTTGTGCATTGATTCTTTTTGTTATGCATTATAATAGGAATAACGATTCTGTAGTTTCTTTTTCAATTTCAATTTAAACACAACTCGACATAGTGTTGCACATAGGTTAAGATAAATGTGGATTTACGTGGGAGGTAAATAGTAACAGCCACCAATATGCACATCTCTGAGTCTGCGCTAAGTATAGATATATCGAGAATTTTATCACGGTGTTGTTTACAAAGCGAAAGAAGCACGTCATAATTCTAATTTAAACATTACACACACTTAGTTAAATTAAGTTTACACATACACTAGCATATATATATACAGTTGATAGCATACATTGATACATTGATACTCGATTACACATACACATACTAGCATCACACTACAGTTGATACCTGACTTAACTTACACCTCTGTGCACAATTAGGTGCATTCATACTTAGGTACATTCGTACTTGTTTACATTCATACCTAGATGTTTGATTAATACCTACTTGACTTAGTATCACTTGATGTTATTACTTACCTGTTCATTTTTGATATTGTACAATACACAATTTATACTACACTCATAGAAGTTCATACTTGGAACTTAGTAGTTGTGGTTGTGCATTGATATGATAAATACAGAACAATTGCAAACACAGTTAGGATTATTATTTTTATTTTTGTATACAGGGATAGTATATGATATCTATGTTGGCTGACTCACACGTAGCCATGAGGTTGTAGAACACGGTACCATGTCATATTATTGAATGATATGGGGTAATACTTATATTTTGAAATTCAATATGTGACTTTATACATATTATATTTTTTTAAACATACTTATGCTTTGTTATACCTTGAGTAAAACACATAGGTTTGATTGTTCATGTCCATATGAGTACATACTGGTGATTATTTTGTATACTGTTAGCATACATACAGAACATGTAATATAATATTGTTGTAATATTATGAAATAGCAATACTTTGTCATTTTTATGTGATAACTATATTATTATAATATCCCTTGACTGATTAATTATTTGAATAGAAGACTATCTCATTCTCCCCTGTGTAGGAAAAATGACTTTCCCGTCATTCGACTCTTCCTCCCTCTGACGAAAAAATAAAGTAATCGGCGTTCGAAACTGGTATTTCATTATGATGCTTCTTTCACAATCTCAATGATGGTACGTGTAATATTATTTTACATTCCTCTAAGCATCCCTTCCTTCAGTTGTCTCGTTAACCATTCAGCTTTCTGTAGCCAACATTTTTGTCCAAAAGCTTGTTTGGTGATATAATCTTTCAAATATGCAGGTGGGATAACGTCTTGTCCAAAACCATTTTCTTGACTACCATCAGCTAAAGTCTGATCGTCACCAGCCAAGTTGACGGTATCTTGTTGCCCATCTACCACAGGTACAACATCACTGTTGGTGTTGCTCTGTGCGTCTCCCTCTGGCAAATAAATAATATATTCCTGCTCTGACTCCTCGGCCGATTCTGTTTCAGTTTCCTCTTTGGTACTGTCGGAGTTCGTTTTCTTTTTTTCAAGGACTGTCTTTGTAGGTTGTTTATTTGGTGCAGGCTTTTTTGTAGGTCTAGTAGACTCTTCAAAACCAGGCAGATGTCCAGTTGGTAGAAGGAGGTTTCTGTGCAGTGTTCTTTTACGTCCATCTCCATTTTCATTCTGGACCACGTAAACAGGTATGTCCATGTTAGGCTGTCTAACAATTCTGTACGTTTCCTCTTCCCATTTATTCGCTATCTTATGATTCCCATCGAAGGCGACTACTTTAACTAGTATACAACATTCAGGTTGTAAAATAGCTCCTCGGGCTCTCTTGTCATATATCTCTTTCTGTCGACCTTGTGCTGTCTTTGCTGAACGAGATGCAAGTTCATATGCTTTCCTCAGACGATGGATTCAGCGTACTTTGTTGATTATTCCTTAGTACCAGTATCCTCAACTCCAAATGCTATGTCCCCAGGCAAACGTGAGAATGGACCGAACATCAAGAAGTAAGGAGAAAATCAAGGTTTTGTCTGTTTAGTACAGTTGTACGCATGTACGAGTCCAGCTATGTGGGAATTCCAGTCTTTCTTCTGCGAAGTCTGTAGAGTTCCCAGCATGTTTAATAAGGTACGGTCGAATTTCTCCGTAAGTCCATTGCCCAAAAGTTAGCTGTTACATTTTATTCATACTTAAACATACCTTATGTAACCCTGAATAGATTTTGGTTGTTTTGTGTTGTTGGCTTGCTGTCTAAATGGCGTATACTCCACATATGATTTTAATCGTTTTTATGCAAGAAAAAGCATTACAGAGATAGCTGCATATTTAGATATAATTAAGTACACTCACCAGTTTTAATCACAAGAGGTCTTTTAATCTTATATTTACGTTTTGGTTTCTAGTAAAATAAAATATCTTACCTATAGCCAAAACTATAAGGCAATTAACAACTCGTATGTCGTTTCTGTCCCATGGTTTTGATGTTATTTGCCTAATTATCTTTGAAACTGTATTTGGAAAAAAAATAATATATTTATACAAAAATACAATATATGTAAATGTACTACTAAATAATCGAATAGGTTAGAATAATAAGGGGATTAAAATCATTAAAATATTTACAGTAAAAATGTCCTATTACATGTCCAATGAAAACAATCCGTACAGTAAAAGTGTCCTTTTCATGTCAAGCTAAAACAGATCTTACAGCACAAGTTTCCTTTTACATGTCAAATTAAACACACATTACAGTAAAAGTGTCCTTTTCATATAAAGTGAAAACAAACTTTACAGTGAAAATGTTCTTTGACATGTTAAATTAAAACAAACTCGACAATAAAAGTGTCCATTGACATGTCGAATTAAAACAAACCTTATAGTAAAAGTGTCTTTTGACATGTCGAATTAAAACAAATGTACAGATTCGGCTTCGAGCGTTCCTGATGAAGGTAAATCCAGAAAAGCGCAATGCAATTTATAACGTGTTGTTTTCAATTTTTTTTACAGGTTTATTGTTATTTCAAATGTGCAAGTTAAAACAATTATCAGAGTATAAATGACCTTTTTATGTCAAATTAAAACAAATTTTACATCAAAAGTGACTTTTGACATGCCAGCTTAAATCAATTGAAACTTGACAATAAAGAGTCTTTTGCATATCAAATCAAACAAACCTTACAGAACAAGTGTCCTTTGACATGTCGAATTAAAACAAACCAAATGAGTAAAAGTGTCCTTTTCATATCAAATTAAAATAAACCTTACAGTAAACGTGTCCTTATTATAGCAAGATAAATCAAACCTGACACTAGAAGTGTCTTTTGTCAAATTAAAACAAACGTTACAGGTATAGTGCTCTATTACATGTCAACATGTCAAGTTAAAACAAGTCTTAGACTATAAGTGTCTTTGTTATGTCAAATCAAAACAAACCTTTCGGTAAAAAATTCCTTTGTCATGTCAAATTAAATCAATTGAAACCTGATAATAAAATGTCCTTTGCATGTCAAGTTAAACAAACCTTACAGTAAAATTGTCCTTTTTCATGTCAAATTAAACAATTTGAAACATTATGGTAAAAGTGTCCTTTGACATGTCAAATTAAAACAATTAAAAACATTGCAGTAAAAGTGTCTTTTGAAATATGACAATAAAAGTACCCATGTCATGTGAAATTAAACGAACCTTACAGGTAAAATGTCCGTTTCATGTTAAATTAAACAAACGTTACAGTAGAAGTATCTTTTCAAATTAAAACAAAACTTATAGTTATAGTGTTCTTTAACATGTCAAAATAAATCGATTTGAAACCTTACAGTGTAGGTTGTCTTAGTCATGTCCAACCTAAACAATTGCAACCTGACAATAGATGTGTCCTATTCATGTAATATTTAACAAACCTTGCAGTAGTAAAAATGTACTTTTAAATGTCAAATTAATACAAACCGTACAGTATACATGCTCTTTTTATGTCAACATTTAAAAAAAAATGTACAGAGTATGTGTCATTTTTACGTCAAATTAAACAAACCGTACAATATGAGTGTCCGTTTTATGTCAATGTAAAACAAACAGTACAGTATAAATGTCTTTACGAGAATTAACGATTTTGCAGATTTGTTTTCGTCTATTCGACTTATGACTATTGAACAGCGGTATACTACTGTTGCCTTTATTTATACCTTTTTCCAAAACGTCACCAGTGCGTAAGAATACACAAAGTAGACGTATCTGTTCGTTAAATACTCCTCGTAACTACACGTAAAGTGTTCGTAATAATTCGTAACTATCCGTAAAGACGTTTATTGTTACACGACCCAAAAGAAATCGTAAATAACACGTCAGCACTCATAATAATCCGTAAATAATCCATAAACAAATCGTAATGTAGCCATGACAATCATAAAAACAAATCGTTACAGGTCATTTACGGATTCTTGCGAGCAGTGTACGTATGGTTACGTGTTGTTGCGAGCGGCTTCCGAGCGGTTTACGATACTTTCAGATTGTCACGAGTTATTAACGGTAAAATGAATCTATGGACATTTGTAAGAAGGTTTTTGACATCTTTGAGTCATTTACGGATGCTTGCGATTGACTACGAGTTGGTGATCCTTAAAGACTCGGTCGAAAAATCCTTGTATGTGAAAGGGACACATAACAAGCCTTACAATAAAAATGTCCTTTTCATGTAAAATTAAAACAAATACATGTAGTAGTAACAACATGTCAAAGACACTAGGCTTATAATTTTGTCCGCAAGACGCGCGTTTCGTCTAGATAAAGATTCATCAGTGATGCTCGAATTAACAAATTGGAACGCCAAATCAAATACGAAGTTGAAGAGCATTAAAAACCAAAAGTTGTGCCTTTAATGCTCCCTTCACAAACACGGATTTGTCTTACGAGTCCTTACAGATCGCCAACTCGTAGTCAATCGCAAGCATCAGAAAATAACTCACCGGTATGAATATGTTATCGCCCCTGTTTTGGCGGCGCCCATGAAAATTCTAAGCTAACAAAAAAGAGTAATTAATCATAAAAAGTAAAATCACAAAAATACTGAACTCCGAGGAAAATTCAATCGGAAAGTCCCTAATCACATGGCAAAATCAAATGACAAAACACATCAAACGAATGGACAACAACTGTCATATTCCTGACTTGGTACAGGCATTTTCAAATGTAGAAAATGGTGGATTGAACCTGGTTTTATAGCGCTAAACCTCTCACTTGTACGACAGTCTTATCAAATATATCCACATAAAATGTGATTGTACTGTTACAAATGGAATGATGGTTAAATAGTTTAAACACTATATAAAACGAGAATGGTTTCAACTCAGATTATTGTGTAAGTAAAAAAAGTTTAAATATCTAAGACTAGTACATGTATATTACACTGGTGTTGATTGATTGAATGATACCATTGTATCGTTGAGCGATGGTGACTAAAGAAGATCTCGCAGATCTTAAAACAATCATAATGGGAATAGATACTAAGGTAACCAATTTCTCCTCTACAATATGACTCGGTGGAAAAACATTTGACTCAGCTAATTGGTGACTTTAAGTCAGAGGTGTGACAAGTAAAATCTGACTTGAATATCACAAAAACGAAGAAGAAAAAAAGAGGCAAGACCACAATGAGCTCGAGAGTGTTGTAGGACACTTAGAATCCCAGCTTAATTGTATAGAAACAGAAAAAAATGAGCAATTGGAATTGAGCAAATACAAAACGAGATAGTTTGGGAAGTGCTTGATAAGTTTTTTGTTCCGTTTGTAAATGCACACACAGGATTTTGTCGAAACCTCTAGTTTTTGGTACAAACAGCCCTGACGCAATTATTGTAAGATTCATGCATTATGGTGATAAACATTGTATTATGGCTAATGCCTATAAAGTTTCTCCAATATACAGACGGGTCAGTATAAAAGAGGGACGAAAGATACCAGAGGGACAGTCAAACGCATAGATCGAAAACAAACTGACAACGCCATGGCAAAAAATCAAAAGACACACAGACAAATAATAGTACAGATGGCACAACATAGAAAACTAAAGACTAAGCAACACAAACCCCACCAAAAACTGGGGGTGATCTCCGGAAGGGTAAGCAGATCCTGCTCCACATGTGGCACCCGTCGTGTTGCTTATGTTATTAAAAACTGTTAACTTGCGTAGTGGTATTAATATGTGGATTCTAAAAAAACTATGAAGAACTTCTTGATAATTTAAATCTCGATCTTTCTCTGAAATTAGTTCTATCAAAACTTTTGATTTTTCAACCCTGTATACCACCATTCCCCATGTGAAATAGAAAAATATAATTTGTGATGTAGCTCTTTTCAGTTTTTTAAACAGTAAGATCGATACCTTTACACGGTGAAAAGAGGAAATTCCTTCCAGTTCAGTTTAAAGGAATTGATGCTATCAACATCAGCAACGTTCTTCATCACAAAAAAGTAACATCTAAAACTGCACCTAAAGTATTTTACTATAAGTAAGCATTGCAGAACTTTGATTTAGAAGAATACCTAAAAATACCTCTGACATGTGACTGTTCCAAATCACCTTATATTTATAGTCCATTTGCCTATGTTATTACTGGGGAACTAAACATAATTCAATATGAACATCTCCGAAAGGTGATATCTCATGGTCCTAAGTTTAGAGAACCCCAACACATCAAATAGAACCATAACTTAAAAATCATTATGGATTCCATTGAGGACTACGCCAAAGCATCATCATTGGCAAAACGAGGAGAAGTTTAACTGGACACTTTGTCAGAATGGGTCAAAACAATCAGGTATCAGATAAAACGTCGAATTCATAAGTTGAAAAACTGTGTGATTGATCGACCAAAGTCCATTTTCAGAGACAAAGAAGCTGTGAAATGTCTATCATCTCTTCACTGGTAATATGTTGTTGTTCCTGCGGACAAAGCTTCACATAATATTGTCTTTGTATTTAAATCGTACTACTACGAGTGTCTTGTAAAAAATATAATGAATAAATGAGCACTCAGGTAATCCCACATACACAAATATTTCATTTGACAAGAATGAAACTTTGGCTTACCTAAAACTCTATTTGTTACTTAAGTTTTCAAAAATTCCGTAGAAACAATGGTACATTGCCGGTTCATCTGCATTTTCTACAAAGGAATTGTCTATTAGTTTGACAAAAAATCCGTCCGCAGTGACAGCGGGTCTTCTGATTTACTTTGAAACTGTTTACTTGCGTAGTGGTATTAATATGTGGATTCTAAAAAAACTATGAAGAACTTCTTGATAATTTAAATCTCGATCTTTCTCTGAAATTAATTCTATCAAAACTTTTGATTTTTCAACCCTATATACCACCATTCCCCATGTGAAATTGAAAAATCGTCTAAAAGAAAGAATCCACAATGCTTTTCAATATAAAAATGGTACCATACGCTATAAATATATTGCTTTGGGATATCATACGGCATATTTTGCTTTTGTTAAAAGTGAACAAAAATGCAAACAAGCTACACAGAGGAACAAGTGATCAAGTATGCTGGAGTTTCTTATTGAGAACATATTTGATGAAATGGATGTAGAATTTGTCAACAAATTGTCGGCATTCATATTGAAACGAACTGTGCGCCTCTTCTTGCCGACCTCTTCTTATTTTCATATGAGTCGGAGTTCCTTTAGACACATGTCAAAAACAAAAAGATCAAAGAAGCCAGATCATTTTATTTCACATTCAGATATATTCATGATGTTCTTTCTATTAACAATCCAAACTTTTCTGATTGGTTCCATTAATATATCATCCAGAACTTGAAATTAAAGAAACAACAGAAACGGCTTCCTCTGCATCATTTTTAGACTTATACCTCGAATTTGACATAAGCGGTCATCTCAGTACCAGAATCTTTGACAAACGAGACGATGTTAATTTTGAAATTATAAATTTCCCCCACCTTAGCAGCAATATACCAACTTCACCTGCATATGGGATATACATTTACCAACTCATTCGGTATTCAAGAGCTTGCAGCTGCTACTCGGACTTTATAAAACGTCACCAGTGTCTAGGAAGAAAGTTGATAGGACAAAGTTATCAAAGAACGTCTGGTCCTTTTTCTAAAAGATTTCATTGAAAGATACTAAGACCTTGTTGGTAAATATTCCGTATCAACTTCACAAATAATACATGATGGTCTTGAAGTACAGATTCTAGGTACTGACGTTGTTTATCATCTTAATTACGTGTTATAGTGTTCTTTTTATTTGTCCATGTACATTTATAACCTTTACTGTTTACTCCATTTTTGGTAATATACTTTTGGCGTAGTTCAGTACTTATACATCCCGTGTTATTGTGCTATGGTCAATTGTGTATTTTTGTCTTTCATTTTTGCTTATGTACTTTTTCTTTAGAGTGTCTATATGCCATTTTGTTTTTCTTTGTTGAAATAGTTATTTGTTTTTATAGTGAATAAGATTATATTACAATGTTGACTGCTGTACCCCAATTTTTGTCATTTTTACCTATTATGTCTATTTATTTTGCTCAGAGTTCGGTATTTGTGTTATTTTAGTTTTTTCACACATTGTTGTCAATATAACGGAATTCTATGCAACTTTCATACAAGTGAGAGGTTTAGCTAGCTATACAATCAGGTTTTAATCTACCATTACCTACATAAGGAAATGCCTATACCAAGTCAGGAATATGACAGTTGTTTTCCATTCGTTTAACGTGTTTGAGCTTTTGATTTAGCCATTTTATAAAAACCGTTTTGAATTTTCCTTGGAGTTCGGTATTTTTGCTATTTTACTTTTTTTTCAGACCTTGCATTTCCTATCATGATTTCCTTGATAGAGGGTTGCTGCGTACAAGGAAGCTATTAAACCAAGAGTTCCAACTGTTGCAGTTGAAATCATTCCTTTGAAAATTTTACCACGGGTTGGCCCTTTATGCTAATTTTTTACCACGAGCGATAGCGAGGGGTAATATATCGACAGAAAGGGCAACCCCATGGTAAAATCAGTATACATTCAAGCCTTCATGAATTATTTCTATTCTTATAGGACCAATAAAGCTAATCTTTTGGATTGAAGCGCTCTAGTTGAAGGCAAACATTTGCCGTTCCCGTAATTAAACAAACTATTAATATTTAAGTCAAAGAACGGAGAAAACTGAACTATTAACATGCTTAAACTATTTACAAAAACGTACGTAGATAGGTTTGGATGAATTTAAATGATAATCCTACTTATATGTAAACAAAAGGCCTTTTAACAAATTTTTTCATTGTTAGTTTATGTTTCCTTGTCTTGATGACTTTCAGTTTCACAGCCGTGCATTTACCTCGTGAAATGCTTATATTCTTACTACATCGTTCAATGACGTCATTTATACCGATTGACGTCGGGTAGCTCATTCATAAAAAGCATATGACGTGGGAGTATGATCGGAACAGCCCAAACAAATCATGACGTTGCCGGTCAGCTGACATACAATATATACATATATTACCACGAGTGTGTACTAAAAGCGTTTGAAGAACATCATAGAAGAATTGTGTTTATACACACAAATTAATATATATAATACTTAAATATTTTTTTAGGATTTGGCCTACCAGTAAGTATAAATGTCTTAATGTTGTTGGTTCTTTTTTGTGTTCTTTGTGGTTTTTTTTTGTCTCCTGCCTTTTGTTTATCACAACTGTTTCTCTTTTAATGCTTTCCAGCAAGTATTCTGCTATTTTTGGGTTAACTTATTGGTACAAACAGAAATGTTTTCACACTCCACATAATTAGCCCAGATAAGATACTTGTTTAAGCAATCTATGTGTCATTTATATTCAAAATGCTAAGTCACAATTTTTCCACACAAAAATGACGGTTTGGTCGAAGGTTCACATGTACTAAAACTTTTGATAATAAACTCATCATAGATACCAAGATTAACATTTCATACGTCAAACCCCAGAAAAATTCACCTTTACAAGCCTTTATGAAATGTGACTTTATACAACAGGCCCAATTTTACAGTTTTCTGGTCCCAAATAATACCATGATAAAAGGTGAGCCTATTACAAAAAAGTATAAAAACAGCCAACAAATAACAACAAAAACACAAGGATAATATTAGAACTTCAGAAGAAAAAAAATATTTGATTGAATAATTGATGCTCACTTAACAAAATAAAATATTCAATCTGTATGACGCTTAACCTATCTTAATAAAATGTCTTATATACTATAGTAATATCAATATTAACTGAAAAATGAGGTAATCCCAAACCACACTTTAAAATAAAAAGAAAAAGAGTATCCATATGCGGTTCTCACTTACAGACAGGTTTTACATAATATATCAAAACAATACATTAAACAATAGAATTGGATAAAATTCAATGAAAGAATTACATGGATACTTACAACATATCTAATACAAATAGGAGGTCACGTGCTTTTTTTTCTTGAAAAATAAAAAAACCCACAGATTTTCCTATCAAATTCAGTATAATTATCTGCCCTTGATTTTAAAAGGTAAATTAACTTTAAACCAAAAAAGCATTTTGCAACTTACCCAGTAGGGATGATCAGAAGGAGACACCCGACCTACCTTAAGGATCCGTGCATGAAGAGGCAAATTGTTTGACATGTCAAAAATCTTTTCACGATTGTCCACGGATTGATTTTCCCGAAATTACCGAAAACCGCTCGCAACATCACATCACGTAACCATCCATAAACTGCTCGCGAGAATCCGTAAATGACTCGTTACAATTTCTCTACTGAAATTTTGCAGTTAACACCGAGTTAACAAAGCTTTTAAATTAAGTGTACATAAGTGAACGCCGCGTTAACTTTTCCCGCTAGTTAACATGTAATGCTTGATATCTACCTAACTATATTCACTGCGGTAAATTAAGTACTGTTCAGTCTTCAATGGAAGTCGATTTAGATATGTGTTCTGACTGCTCAGTATTTGCAATTTACCTGTACACATCAACGCCATACTGAAATGCCTGAAATTCTACTGAACAGTACTGAATTGACTGCAAGTAAATTGTATGAACCGTATTAAATTCACCACAGTTGATAAGTCTGAAAATTGACTGATAGACTAAACATAGATATAGGAAGATGTGGTATGAGTGCCAATGAGACAACTCTCCATCCAAGTAACAATTTATAAAAGTAAACCATTATAGGTCAAGGTACGGCCTTCAACACGGAGCATTGGCCTTATAATTTATTGTACATACTTTGAACATGGTGTTACGATCAAAATGACCGCTTCAGACTAAAAATCATTTACTTGTGTCAGAGCTATGCATGGGGGAGATATGTTACCTTCTTTAAAATGATTTCAAAAATTTCAAAACAGCATATTTCAAGAAAAAAATATCCGTATTTTCAAGCTAGTACCGAAGTACTGGCTACTGGGCAAGCGATACCCTGGGGTATCAAATTGACGTAGGAAACGTTGATAGTGTTTTATAAAAAAAAACCAAAAAATATGTTTTTATTGCACTACATTTGAGATAAACATTTGAACCCGGATTATTTTCGTGTCATTATTACGCAATGCATATTGAGGAGTTGATGGTATGAAATAGGGAGTAGGTCGTAAGCATATTGAATAGCATAGCCGTTGAATAAGAAACAAAATTAATGAATTATTTTCAATAAATCAGACAAAAAATTTACAAAAACTGTGATATAAAGCCTGTCGGGTGCAACACAATCAACAATACAAATAAGAGAATCAAGAAAATATTCATATACAAAGAAAAGGAGATGAGGCATATTTGTCAATGAGTCAATTATCCATTTTGGTAAAGGACAAAGATGTGAACAATAAATTACAAATCACTGTAAGGCTTTTAACAATGTGCATCCACTGCCATTTCTTAGATACAAGTGTACATGCATAACTATAATACTACCTGGTAAATCTGTTATTTCGTTATCTTTCCTGTAATTCAAAAAGAAAAAAATTATAGTGTTATAACTATGAATATAAAAACTGAGAAGATGGGCAATGATTGCCAATTACACAACTATCCAACAGAAACATCAATGTAAGCCAAAATACCGCAAGGCCTGTAAGCATGAGCAAAACCCATACAGTATGATAAGCTGTGAAAGACCCAGTTCACTTAAAAGCAGACTTGTTCCCGGGACTGTTTTAATGAAAGCCGAATAAGTACACACACTCGCTCACCTAAGCAATGATTTCTCTTTTGTAAATCATGTAAGCAGAACCCATACTTTAGAATCGGAAAGCCAGGATGAGAAGAATAAGTACATAATTATCAATTATGACATAAATTAATGTGCGATTAGGGGTAACATGGTAATAGAAGGCTTAAAATTACCAGAAGAGGTTGAAAACTTTATAGTATTCAAATTATGTATGTTTGCAGAGGATTCACAGGTATTTAATAAAAACGAAAAATCAATGGCCATTCATTCGAGGTTTGTCTTTACATGAAAAAGCTTCAGGATTCAGAATAAATCAATACAAAACAAAAGACTTATTTTTCGGGGCTTCTAAAATATGAAGACCTAAATTTGATAAAATCAAATAGATCACAACTTCAGTTAAACATTAGATTTTCCATGGTGATGAAATAGAAGACAATGATATAATATATAATGCAATATAACGATATGTAGCAAAATAATTGATAAAGTTAAAAATTGTGTATCCTTATGGAAAAGTAGGAATACTTCATTTACAGCAAAACTATTCAGTGAAAAATATGATACTTTCTCTCTGTTCTTACGAGATTGAGCTATGTGGAATTGCGGATAAAAATATTAAACAGCTCAATATTTTCTATGGGACAGGAAAGTAAACTAGGTACATTATCTATAATATCTAGAAATATAACCTACAAACGTAATTTAAAATGTATTCTTCAATTTTACGGCAATGACACCACCGATAAGACAATAGTGAAGTATGTGATAAAGAAAATTTACAGAAATAAAACAATTCTTACTTTTGTAAAAACGAACCTATATTTTCTTTGAGTTCATCGTGCAAGAATATAGATTTGATTAAAGAATATAGTAGTGTTAGCCTAGCTAATATGTATGTAGTCTTTAAGAACTATATATTTACTTAATGTGTTGATCTGCAAATGCCACATAAGAACTGTAAAAATGAGTTGCAATTAACTAAAATTAACTCGGTACGACTAACAACTAGCATAAAAACAATAAATAGAAATCACCGAAATAAGAGCACCCGCAGTTACTGAAAGCTGGTTCAAAGCCAATTACAAGTAATAGATAAATCATTTTCTCCCAGACTTAAGAACCAATCAGTACACATCCAACGGATTTAGTGTAAATATGTCATAAATAGTCCGAGAAATATCTTCCACCACTGCAACAAGTGTGTTACGATATTTCTCCACTCGAGACAGTTAAATTTTGATATTTAAAGCGCAAGGCTTACCGAGCTTTTTAAATAATTAAAAAATTATCTGTTCAGATAGTGGAGACATATCGTAATACACGAGTTATAGTGGTGGAATATGTTATTTTATTGATTTTAATCCTCCCTTTTCAAAGATTTGAAGAAAGTTGTGTTCTTTGTATGTGACGTCATCAGGCATGGTCAAGAAAATTTGATTTGCCGAGAACAGTTATTGCACTAGTGAGGAGAACGATGTTTTCACAATCGGTTGGGAAATGTGAAAATGGTGAAAAAATTAGAGAAACGCATATCCTTGTGCCGTGGTTGTAATCTATGGACGTTTTGAAAATCAATTGCATCTGCCTCAGGAATATCAAGTTCTGTTTTAATAACGTTTTAAAGAGTAGTTTCCGTATCTTCCTCCTCGTCAGTTTGTATAATACTCTCGAATGTAAGGTTGGATTTCATCGAGTGACTGTAATTTTAGATAATCTTCTTTCAGTTTTCTATCAGTTGATTTCTTCGATGCAATTTTCTACCAACTCATTCTGTCAGCAATTTCGAAATGGTGCTTTTCAACATTTCCCAGAACTTGTGCATGCTCATTTTGAGTTTTCTTTATAAAGTCCATTTCCTGGTGTAAGTTTGAAATTTTCGTCTCAATGTTATTGAACCTTTCATCAAGTTTTTATCTCATTTTGAGTGTTTATTACATACTACAAAGTCTATTCGTTCTAATTTTTGGTTCATAATGTTAACTGTTGGAAACAACAATTCCATGGTTGTATTTGAATGAACACTACCAGTTTGTGATAACGGTAATGTTGGAAATAAAGGTAATGGTGGAAGGTTATAGCCAGGATTAGAAGTACAATGCGCTGCCTTTTGTATCTGTGGGTTCGGACATTGAAAGGTCTGATTCATATGGTTCCCAGGGTTGTGAGAATTTGGTTGAAATGTTCTAGTTAGTGGCGTTATGTGAGAGTTCAATGGTGTACTAGTGTATAACGTGTCGTGAGCTTGGTGCAGAACATTGGAAAGCTTTGTTGTTGTTGATGATAGGTTGAGGCCATATTTATTTGTGTTTTGTTTGGTAGAGTCAAACCTGTTTTTATATTATTACTCCTGTTCCTCTTGTTTCTACCCATTTGATCTAGTAATGTCACAAATGCTCATTTTTGGTACAAATCACAATAGAATTAAGTTGAAATAAGACCACAAACACATCCAAATCGATCAATATGAGTAAACCTTCACTCACAACGTCACACGTAATCGGCCATATTTTTTCATGAAGTAAAGAAGAACTTTCACTTAACTACACTGACACAGTATGTAAGCGGCACATGTTTCTATATTTATTTCGGACTTCTGCTTCAGGTTTGAAGCAGACACATAAAGCATTCACTTTCTCAGCAATTTGTTCCCATACCTTATATTTCTTCTGATTGGGAATTTCAGTGCTTAATCCTCTTTTCAACAGCTCCAACTCATTAGTCACCCGACTACTCATTAAAATGCCTCAATGGATGTGCAGTTGGCTTTCCAATCTTTTGGCAGTTTTTGTCTTGGAAAACGAGACATAGGGATTGCTTTTCCGGCGACGACTTTTGCGACGGATCCGGCGACGGCGTTACCAATTATTAAGTTTTCTGCTTAAGTTAGTTTTATAGGAACTACTTGTGAAAGATCATTGATATTTAATATAAAGTTGCATTACTATCAGTACATATCAGTTTGACGACTACTTTGAGGCCCTGTCCCATTGGACATGGTCCAGTGACTTTGAATTAATAAGCAATTTTAATGTTAAATTATCTGCTGATGTTTGTTTGATAGGATCTACTTGTGATAGCTCAATGATATTTTATGTGAAGTCGCATTACTATCAGTACATATCAGTTTGATGGCTATTTTGAAGCCCTGCTCCCTAGGACATGGTCCAGTGACTTTGAATTAATTAGCAATTTTCAATGTTAAGTTTTCTGCTTAAGTAAGTTTGATAGGATCTACTTGTGATATATCAATGATATTATGTATGAGGTTACTATATATCAGTTTGGTGAATATTTCGAGGCCTACTCCCATGGGCATGGTCCAGTGACTTTATCGTGAGGGAATCGTGTCATCTTCGTCTTTACCTCGTGTGATCATCGATGTCATCAGGCATTTTTTGCCTCAAGAATACAATACAAAAATCTGCTCGGTTGTCTTAAGAAAGCCACACCACTACATGAAGCCCTTGCAATGCTGTCATGTAGCCATCGTATTATATAGTACAATGACATCGAGATAGGACCACGGTGTCGGCGAACACAGCCAAATTTGAGAAGCTCAAGAGTTTCACATGTGTCATGGTAACGTAAACATATAAAATATGCTAGCCTAAGAGCATCTTCCGTAGATAATCCTGAGCAACTCCCAAAGCTTCAATCACAATTAATCACAATTCAGTTCCTGCAGAATGGCATACTTTGATGATGAGACAATCAAGAAAAAGAAGACAGCAGCATTGCTTCTTTTAATGCATGTCAAACAAAATGATGAACAACTCTTACAGGCCCAGCAACTCCTCTAACTGGTAAAAAGTGTCTTATTTCACTTTGTACCTCCTCTCCTCAAGCTGTACGACATCTGGCCTGCGGTGACAATTATTCAAACCCATCCTTCAACTTCAGGGTGGCTCTAAACACAAGCATCCTCTACGATGCTACTGAATCCGAGTTTGCCGTTGAGGTCATCCAATGAACTACTACAACTGAGGAGTGGACCGCCATTGCTGAGAAGTTGGAGAAGAAGTGGAGATTGACACACTGCTGTTGTGCTCTGGATGAAAAGCATGTGGCGGTCACCTGTCCTTATAATACTGGTTCTGTGTACAGAAACTGCGATGGCTTCTTCCCAATGGTTCTGATAGCCCTTGTTGATGCAGACTACACTTTTTTTATGGATTGGTGTCGGCTATGATAGTTCCAGCAACGATGCCAGTATTTATAATATTCAGAACTGAAGTCCGAATAGCATATTCATCCTCCCTGAAGAGAAATTTCTACCAGCTGGTGATGACGCTCCCATACTACATAGCAGAGGACAATGCTTCTTGGATCAACAAGCGCCTGATGAACCTGTTTCCATCAGAAAAATGGAGTACCATGAAATAATATTTAACTATAGACTCTCTAGAGCCAGGCGTGTAGTGGATAATGCCTTTGGTATTCAGGCACACAAGTTCCGAGTAAATTCAATATATAGACACTAGCATTGTGATGATGAACAAACTTTTTCAAATATTGCATTGAAACTTTAAGCAAAATGTGTATTGAGTTTAATTTCAGAAATTTGATTGAAAATAACTTTACTATAGAAATTAAGATAAGGCTACAGTTCCAAAAAATTCAGTAATTAAATTAAATGCCCCACAGTCGGTCGAAGGTTTTATACCATCGGGAGATCTCGTGACGCCTTCATGACCATGTTCGAATGCATCGTACTCTCAATACGACATCGTATAGCCATCGTGTTGCTATCTTGTGTCCTGTGAATAAATATCGTAATAGAAATATACATCTTTGTGTTGCCTTCGTGAGTTGTACTGGTGCCATCGCGTGCCATTCTGTAGACATCGCTCTTGCTTCTGCTGATGATTGGCTGTTGACCCAAGTTCGGGACCATCTTCGCACGAAATTCAAGAGTTGATATTCGTTTGGCCATCTGGTGTCAATTTCGTGACAGTTTGACGCCTGCATTATGGATTTCCTTTGTTTGGACTGCCTTTCATACTAGTTCATTAAAAACTTTTCTAATTGGTCTCAAATGGAACAATGAATTTTATTGGACTAATTTTCAGATAAATAGTATAACTCATCTGTAATAACACTTTCAGAACAACAGGTAGTCAGGCGTTCTAATTCCTTTAAATGCTTATGTCTATTTTGAAAAATGTTGTCTCGTTCTGCAGTTGAAACTAATTTGGTTGATAATTGTGTTAATGAACATTTCGTTATTTCTTTATTATTTCAACAAATCGTAGCGCGTGTTTAAATTATTTTCCTTATAAGTATATAAGTAAATTTGTAACGATAGAAAATAAAAACAATAATGAATTTGGAACCTCTGAAACAGGTGGTATAATACGTATTTAAAAAAAAATTCCACAGACTAATTATTTCATGAAGAGGAAGATGCTTTGCTAGATTTGATATCGGACCTATAAATTAAATGAAGCCGCTGCAATTTTACAAACTTCGCTTAAGAAACATCTCTTGTCAATAAACGATTGACATCTCGCAGAAGTTTGAAAATAGAAATGTTACTTCTAGAAACTTTAATTTGTTTATACGAAAGTATTCAATGAAAAATTCCACGATTCAGATGAGGATCTGGATGTTAAAGTGAAACTCTTAGAAGAAATGAAATGACATCTTAAGAAGGAACAGAACACACGTGTTAAAAGGCTAGAGGGGCGGTAGTAGATCTGTTGTCAAGGACAGAGACAACAAAACCAAATCGGAAATATCAGTAGTCACCTGTTTAACATTTCTACAAAGGTACGGAGTGCTTCGCAGTATAAACATTATTAAAGTTTTTATGTGATTCATTAGGAAAAAAGATATGATTTTTATTTTTATTTTGTGCAGATTTATTAGTTGCATTTTTCATTTTCAGATATTATGACATTTTGGTTCCAGTTAAACTGTAACATTATTAATACTGTACACTAAGTATATTATTAACAGCAATAGTGTGCAATAAAATATTAGTCATGTTAAAAAAAAAAAAATAAAAAAAAAAATACTAATATTAATATGACACCAAGTGAGACCTAAATATAAAAATTACGTACAGATGTCCTGATGGAGTTAAAAAACCATCCAAAATCATGTCCTGAATTATTCGAAAATTCCTAACTATACATATATTTCATAATGATTTCATAACCAATTTATGTATTTGCCATCTATCTGAAATACAACTGAATACTTATGACACATTATCAGATGCATTTCTACCAATTTTTAAATCACCTCCTTGAAATTGTACCCCATTGATATATTTGACTTTTAAAAAAGTGACCTATACCTATACCATCTGTGTATACATAAAAAGTAGGTTACGATGCAGCTCATGGTCCATTCACATCTTACCGATTTAAAGATCATTTGGTCATTTCTCTTCTGAACTCTGTGACAGAAGCAAACTCTGAAGAAAGGAGAGTTATCATAGATTTGAGTTTTCCTCATGAAATTGAGGACATTGAGGAATAGGGTATTATTTTGGCATCATTGTAAAAATATAATTTTGTAGGTATAAATGATTTATTTAATATAAATGCTGGTCAGTAGGAAAAGTATGTGTGTGATATATTACATTAATAAATGGTTTGTTATCCAGATAGTATTTTTATTTTATCGCCAATATTACCAAGACCTTGTAATTTTCATCATTCAGTGTACTTAAACAGCTGGCTACCTCCCTTACAGATGTTAATACATTGCATTTGGGAAAAGTGTTTATAATACAATAAGGATGTCAATTAATAACTTATATTCAGTTGACTGATTACACTTGTCCACTACTGGACTCAACACGTTTTATTTAACTTGATAGCTTATACTTTGGCTCTTGTGTAATACATTTAATTAAAGTGTAAACTGGTTTTAAATCCATTTTGAAATTAGAATTATGTCTTATAAATTCACGATTAAAAACTAGTAGTATGCATCATAATTGAGGTGCTGATTTACTCTGAATCTCTGACTGAAATTGAGTGAATTATTGATATTCTTTATTTCTTTTTATTATTTCTTAAGAGGGTTTACTATATATACTTTTTAGTATACCAGTTTTTATTGCGGGGGATCGAGGTTCGTGTCCTCGATTTGGATTATAGAAGAAAGTGTGGACTGATTCTTTGAAATTATTTTATACATACATGTTATATGTAGTATATAAAGTTGTAACATGTTTTCTTGGGTTTTATCAGTGTTTTTCATTTGTGACTCATGGAATCCTAGTTTGTTATGTTGCATACTATATCTATTTATATACTGATAATTATTTCAAGAATTGAGATTTTGTGTTATTTAAAATTTGTCATTTATGTTATGACACATAACATACGTATGATTACCTTCAAAGCTTTAATAACAGATTTATAAAAAACAACATTTTCTTTTGAATTAATTGAGATATGTATGTACCCGAATTCATTAGAAGTAGTCCACCATGTTACTTTCTGCAAGGAACAAACTCTAAATGGTATCATAACAGAAAGTGAAATATTATTGAAAACATTATTACTTTTTGTAGATTAAGGACTCTAAGTCAGAAAAAAAGTTGAAACCGTACTATCGAAATAGATCAAACCTACTTAAATTCACGATGCATTTTAGAAATAGAACTAAATTGTATGCTGAACAATTTGTGTTTTATCAGATTGATTAACAAAAGGATGACTCTCTAGGGTAACATTGCTATAATTTTGTACCTCTACATATATAAACTGGAACTTTTATAACAATTGTACATCAAACATTGATTTCATTTTAACTCTTGCCATGCAAGTCAATAGAAAAACTATTTGTCAAATTCTTAATAATTATTATCTATCTTTATCATGGATGTTGGTTTACAATAAAAAAGAAATACATACATAATGTTTTACGAATTTAGAATAAAAATATATATATCTACCTTGACATTTGAATCTTTGAACAAAGAGTTATGTGTGCTATTACAGTTTCTGGTTTACATTGATAATCTACAACAACAAAAAGTGCAATTAATATCAGAGTTATATTTTATGGCTGAAATTTCAGTGATCTTTATCTTTTTAAAATAAATAATGTTATCATTGCCTAATTGAAAAAATCGAAATATTTTCCCTATTTTACAAAAGTGTTTGGTGGATCCGTTTGAAAATAGCGATATCTGTTATTTGATAATTCACTCATTTCATCTCTTATAAGTGTGTAATGTTCTTTTTGTGATATACACAAGGCTGGCAGATAGTATATAATTGTCTTAAGATTAATAATTTGTTAAGGAGACATAAAGACCGTAGACAGATATTGTCAAACAGGGGTATGGTGCACAATTACTGATTCAGTATACTTTGTATTGACATGCAATGATTATTAAGAGCTTTTACCACAGGTTCGATAACTAATTGAACCAATTAAGGGTCAATGAGTATGATCATTGATCTCTGTTGATAGGCCTAGTCCAATTCCAATTATGATGTATATTCGGTTAGTCCTGTCAACACTTAAAAGAACGTGTCATTCTTAGATGGTGTGATTCAGTATATATATATTGCATTTGGTTTTGAAATAAATATGCCTGTCCGCAAGAACTGAAGATAGCCTTCCCCAAGACGGAAAAAAACTTTATGTCTAGCCTCACATCGTCATGTACATGTACGTACACATATGTACACCCTAAAAATTGTGCTTTGATATTAAACATGTTGCGAATCTTTCGTGCTAAGGAAAACGTTGAATGTCTAAACATAGCATTAAAAAATGTAACATTTTTGGACACTAAACATTGCGCTTAAAACGTGTTTCTGTGCTAAGCATGATTACCTATTATATCAAGCATCTAAAGCAAAACATGTCTTAATCTTAATCCTAAACATTTTCAATATTTTGACATTTTCCTAAACATGTCTTGAATTAAAACACATAAATAGGCAGTCATATATAAAATAAATGTATCACATGAGGATTACCTACCAGAAAGAGACAAAGAAAGAATTTATAAACTAGGCGATCACTAACTTTTTGAATAACTGAGCATAAACTAAAGAATAGTAGATTTTCATGCTTATTAATATATCTTTGTTCTTGGCATTGTCAATTGTAATGCATTGCTTAATTCTTTAAAGAAAATCGCAAACAATAAGCATACACAATAATAAAGAATTTTCATTTCGAAAAAGGAGAAGAGACGAGCGATCCACCTGTCATTCTTAAACTAAGAGTCAGTTTCAGTATATAAAGAATAAACTATACATGTCAGAACAGTAAAACAATTCAAATTCTACATAACAAGCGTGATACTATAACAACACAAATCACCAGATTTTACTCAACAGTATTGGTAGAACTGTGTGACAGGAGAGGTCCGTGGAAAATATGTTTATACCGCAGTCAATCCGTGGGGTACTTTTTATAGGTTATGTCGTTGTAAAAAAGGAATTTAATTTTGTTTTGTTAAAAGAGCTAAAATTTGTATCTAGTGCTGTAAGCAAAAGTTTATTTGTCCAACATGTACTTTGTAAATAATTTGTAATATAAATAATTTGAAGATTGATATTAAACAGCAGTCGAAATTATTCGTTATATTTTATTGCACGTGAAATTGTATAAATTGTTATAAGAATAATTGAAATTATTGGAATGTGTGCTCCAATGATGGGTTATACAAATAAATAACCTAAGAATAAGGAATTTAGTATAAATGGAATTTAAGGCTTGATTGTTAAATTGCGTTATCAGTTCAACATTTCATTCATGAATCACAGTAACACGCATTTCTTAATTTGATTACACGACATATACACATAGCAATAGATATGGCGGCCAATGTATGGCTCGATGTATGCTGATGATATTATTTCATTGTCTACCAATGCTAATTATCTTCTGTCAAAACTTGATATCATGGAAAAATAGTTAAGATTGTTGTCTTAAAAGCGAGGCGAAAGAAAACAAAGAGACATCCAAATTCATCATTAGTAAATAAACTGACAACGCCATAGCATACATGTTTTGATCAAACTATTGAGCCTACTCTTAAATTAATACTCCTAATCTTTATAACCATAAACTTGTGATTTTCAACAAGATCGGCAGACATCTCTGCCTCAAAGTTACATAAAAAGAATATGAGTTGGAATGTATACAGCATTGTACATATATAGATGCCCATAGTAGTGCTTCAGGCAACTTCGCTTATGCGCAAAATGAATTGTAAAAGAAAGGTATCAAAGTATATTTCAAACTGGGAAGATGTTTCTTATCTTTGCAAAAATTATAGCTTAAAAACAAGCATACATGTTTTGATCATACTATTGAGCCTACTTTTCTCTATGGAGGCAAAATTAGGAGCTATTGTCATTATTTTTTGAGAATTTATTGTTAAATTAAACAGATTTTATTGTCAGATAAGCTTTATGGCACGAGGAAGATAGCTCTTGCTGCCTATCGCAATCAACAGTATATCATAGAGCTGTCCTCCCTTGGTGTCTCTTGCAGGTAAACAATTATCAAATACCATTTCATATAGATGTCAATAAAGAAACATCAAAACTTGTTTTTTTACTTATATAAAATAAGAAAGTTAACGGAAAATTTAAATATTATTTTATATCGTTTTATTATATCCTGTTTGATTTGTCAGCATATTACCCGGGAAGGATTGCTGTTGCTGCATATTGCAACAGTATATCATGAAGCATCGTCTCTTGATGTCTCCTGCAGATGAACTATATATCAGCTAATAAAGATGTTATGAAAAAATATAAAAGTGGCTCATCGATATTAGATACGAGAAGAACTATAATACAGGTCACTAGTTGTCTTTTGCACAATGTTTGACATTTACTTCAGGTTTCATTTAATATAAACTGGTAAGTAATTTATGATGGTATAAATCTTTTATAATGATAATGTTATTATATTTATTTATTTAACATTAACTGTTACCTTATAAAATACTATAAAAATCCTGTTTGTTGCTTATAATTTGTCTGTATTTAATTATAATTGTTGTTGTAAATGTTCCCTGTGGGACAAATATTTGATTTGATGTCATTTTTTAAATGCACTCTTCAAAATTACTTGAAATGTCTGGCGTTGCAGCTCGGATTCACATCAACATTATTATCATAAAAATTTATGCCGCTGTATATAACGAAACAATAACAGCATTAAGTTTGATACTAGTCATAAGGCCAGTGCTTTTGCAGAACTAGGATATTGATAATTCACTTGGTAATTGCAACAGCTGTTGGACCGTCCATTGTGTGTCCCAATGAATCAGTGGCCCATACAGCCATTGTTCTTTTGCTAGCGGATATTACTTTCAAATTGATATCAGCATGACATAAAGATGTTCGCATGCCATATTTTAAATGGATAATATGAGATGGTTTTAAAAACAAGACAAAAAACGTTTTTGAAGATTACACATGCAATATCTATCATTTTGTTTTGGACTGTTTATTATTTTTTATTCGATCGTCACTGATGAGTCATTTGAAGACTAAACGTACGTCTGGCGTATTTTGTTTCAGCCTGGTATCTATGACGAGTGTATTTGAAACCACTCATTGTACGCTCAGTTCGGAATACTATTAACATAATTTTTACAGACATAAAGATATTAAGAATACAAGATTGAAAAGTTATCAGTTATCGTTCAGTGCTAAACAAGTAAGTAGACTACAGAGTTGTATATTTAATAAATATTGACGTAAGGTTAAGGAAAAATATTACCTTTTCTTACAACGTAACAATACATATGTTTCAAAAGAGTAGATAAACAGTTCTAATGGGATGTGTGAAATGTTTTAACAGAAATGTGTTTGTGCTTGATGCATTTTAAGTTTTAGACTTTGGAGATTTTATATCTTCTGGAGATAATCTATAAACTAGGTGTATGAGAACTCGTGCATTCCCTTCGCAAAGCTTTCATTGGAACAAAATATCAGTTAATGCGTATATCTCCTTCACAGAACTATTGCAACCATTTATTGCTATATAACTTACCTGCTGTAAGTGTATAATTCAGAGGACACGACACAGGGTAACATGAACAGTCTTCTTCTGATGGTATGCAGAAACAAGAATTTCTTGGTTTTTTAATAAAGCCAAGTCCTTTTGTGTAGTCACATCGACATAATGTGTCTTTACTTGTGGATACGTTATCGACGAGTATTTGTCCAATTTCATTGCAGGTTGATTTTGCAAAGATACATTGACTTGACATATTTGACCAAAACTTAAATGGTTGATATCTTTTAGAAGAACAATGAGTATTTCGTCGTAGCCCGCTGACAATATATTTTTGTCCTAAAAAGAATTAAATCTTATTAACCATATGATAAGTCATAAATAATTTAAATGGCAAAGCATATTAATTTGAAACGTTTACTCATATAACCTACACATATAAAACGTGACAGAACATCGACGTACCATGAATTAAAAATCAATTATACAATACAAAACATATTTTTCAGACGATTAGCATTAATATTTGTAATAAATTGTTCTTTATTATTTAACGGATTAATGCCATTTTCCATAACCGAAGTAATGCAAGGTCATATTCATAATTAAAACCGATGTTTCACAACAACGTTTTGGGTCTTTATTTGGGAAGATCATGCTTCAACGGTCGATTCGTTTTTGTTATATGGTTCTATTTTTTTCCTTAATATGAGAACGATCTTTCAACACCTGCTGGTTAGCAACTTTCATAAAAAAAAAGCGCATGACCGAATATCAGGGTAAAATAATGTTCGTGTATTGCACTCACCGTTGATGCAGCTTATAAGTTTTTGTAATACAATTCAACCAAATACTATTGATTGCAGTTGATGAATTACGTAGTCCACTTTTCATATGCACCTTTGTCTTAATTTATTGTTGGTTTTGTTTATAACAAAATGAAGAATAGGTTTCTAGTTTACAAACTTCATTTTATTTTGTTAGTAAAACATATTATGCGCTTAATTTAATATTTGATACATTATTTCAAATGCTGAAAACGTCCCAAATTAACGTGTATAGTGTAATTGTTTATGTTGTATCCTGAAATAATGTACGGTGTATGTGGATCATGGTATTAGTGTATGGTGCACTTGAGATGATGTATGTTTTTTAAATTTGAATCATTTTAACAAATTATATCGACATTTGATATACCCTCAAACACATTTCATCATGGATACTTTTGTATAATACGAATCGTGTATGATTCAAATAGGAATGGGAAATAGAGTGTAATGCAGTGTAATGGTGCATAGTGTTTGAGAAAACTATACCCAACAAGGACTGTTTCGACTGGACTTTATCAAAATTATAATATAGAAGTTTAAGGATGCTATGATAACATACAAGTGAACAGTTATCGTCGCTTCATTAATGCACATGAAGATAAAAAGTTATTTGATTTATTTTAAGTAAAACTAAACATCTACATTTATTTTTGCTTGTAATAACACAAAAACAATTAACAGAAAAGTATTGTCTAATTTAGCTGCCAGGATTACGGCTAATTAATCAATGTTTTGATCATATTAATCAGTGTAGCAGATACAAATAAGTGATCATTTTTAAAAATGATTAGACAGTCACGAGTGTTTTTTTATATAACAATATCAATAATTTCCGCCTACTCGAGATTACATTCATTTTGATTCGACTGTCATGAGATAAAAGTTTTGATTTCTGATACTGTCCTTCATTTAGAAATAAAGTCTATATAATCGTTGACCGCGATATTTAACCTTTTAGTATAAGTTCATGTATGGTCCTTATCCTTTGGATCGGTTTTCCTTACAATTTTCGCAGGAGTTTTATTTTCGTGTTTCAACTGTTACAGCGATAATAAAAAACAAAACTGCCCCGAAAATTTCCTTGTTTACGGTATCCACCAGAAACCAAATGACGTAGAAGGTTAATTTACCTGTTTACTGTTGAAATATGTCCTGCGAGTATTATATTAGAATGTTAAATTTTATTACGTAACAATAATCGGTTATAATGACAGTGATGGCAACTCAAGCAGATCTGAAGTTAATAATTCATTCAGACATTTATAAATTACTATTGGTTGTGGATTAACAACAGATAGTCATGATTAGTCTTTAGTTTTCTGTCCTTCTTCTATACTAAAAGTTGACTGATTTTCATAATAAACATGATAAAACAATGTTCTTTTACTTAATAAGTCATAATTTAACTGTGTTGGAAGTTCCTAATCTGAATAATTTAGCATCTTCATTATTATTATATCCTGTAGTATGAAATATTTATTCTCTGAAAACAGGTTAATTTTCATTTTAGTTATTTCGTTGACCGTCAAACTGGATGCTGGAAGAGTTCAAGTTTTTTTTGTATCAATGAAAACAAAAGATACGAAAGGTTCGTTTTTGACAGTTTTTACTCTATCACAAAACGTTTCCTAATGCCGAGAAATTTGACAATATTGGAATAGCGCATTCTTCAGAAGTTTGAAAAACTTAATAGCTATAGATCCTGCGTTTTTTTGTTTATAAAAAGATATTATTTTGAAGAGAAACAATGACATTTATCTTACGCACGGCTAAGCAAGGTAAATAGCTTATGTTGCTGAACATAAAATGATATGTTTAGTCTGATTATTATAAGCTGTAAGCATTCCAATTAAACCCAAAACGAAAGCAGTGAGTTAATGAATTCAAAATATGACCGATATGCCTATTTTTGTATATAAAAAGTCAATATATTATTTTATGGTCGGAATCGTTTACCTCACAAATATCTTGTCAGGCACTATAGTACATGTTTCCTTAGTCTCTCTACGCATATGCTTACTAATTTTTTGAACCTGCGAAATACGAAAAAGACGGAATATTCATTTACGGTGCTCATTGTTGTTTTCCCTCAATAAATGTGCGGGTGGGGAGCCATGTTTTTTTAATATGGGCATTTCATATTGAATTTGATATCGCTATTTTGCATTACCAATTTGATGAATTCTCTTTAATTTGTTGTTATTTTCGTTATCAATTTTTATTTTGAACACACCACAGAGATTGGTATGCTTTCTATCATTGATTACTTGTGTTTCAATAACTGTTTCAAAAGTGCCGGAACTGTTGTTTTTCTTAATTATTCATTCATTACTTAATCCGAACAATAATAATACTTTGAAGCCTCATTCTTATAACTTAAAGTATATCCAATTGAAAGTTTTAATTAACGACATTTTCATTTTACATTCACACTTTTTATAAAGAGATGCAGAATGATTACCAGTGAGACGACCATCCCTCAAAACCAAAGGACAAAGATCATGAAAGATGTTAACAACATCTGTTAAAGATACGGTATACGAAGGCAATGCTATTTTCTCGTCCAGAATGATGTATTACATAGCAAAACCTTTTAAATATATAAAAAAAATCAGATATATATTATGTGAAAACAGGTTAAATTTTGAGTTTTGAATATACCTCGATTGATCAATATGTATTCCCTTTTATAATTACCAGTTACTGTTTTGCTTTTTTATATATCTTAGAATATATGATATTTTGTTTTTTTGTAGATTTTCACATATTTTTAAATGTTCTTTGTATACAAAATCTTCATATACATTGAGGATATACAGATTCATACATTCATTGACTTTGAGATGAAGAACAGCAATAAAAGCGCTGTTTCTTTGCTTTTTGAGCATTTTTTTGCTGTGTTTGTACTGATTTTGTGTCATGGATGGATACCCAATATCTTTTGTTTTCCATAACCGTTTTATAAAAGACCCTGGATGACAAAATGTTAACAAAACGAAAACCAGTGGCCTGATTTGCACGATAAATTACGGCAGACAGTAATCTACGACAACCACTGCATTATAGGCTACTGGTTTGGAATAGATACATAAAGTCATGAAGTAAAAAGATCAAAATGGCATGTACATTCCAAACATAATAGTTCCGTTGTCAGCTGATATGATAAGGAAAGTTCTGATAATATAGACGTTAATAAAGATGCGGTAGACGGCAAGAATCAGTATATCTTACGGGTAGAGCTGTATTCAAACTGCAGACTGAAGGCAGTCCACCTATACTAGTCGATGAACAGGCTATGTTAATAACTGAATATCATTTAATAACCAAAATAGCGTTCCCGTCGTGACGATGCCTACGGTGCTATGCTAACTGGTTCCGAAAAGTGAAGCTTCATCATAAATATTGGGTTTCTTGCTGCGACTTGTGTTCAGAGAAATGTTGAAACTGTTGAAACTTTCATTGTGGAGTTAAAACGAATACCATTCCTGACTGAGCTTAACGCCTTATTTCAGATTCATGTCCTTGTTTCACGTCTGTCACGTATGCACCAACATTTGATTGAATCCAAGGTATATGTCAACCGTTGATAAGGTCATGTCGAAAGTGTTGGTCAGTAAAATATATATCCAGATAGACCACATAAAGTCGAATGGTCCATGCCTGAAGTTTTTTTTTACCTCATATAATTTGAAGCTGCTGTGGGAATTCACAGCCTACGCTTGTTATCGTGTTTTGCCTTATACACGTTTGTTACATACTGTCAAAATTCTGCGTTATGTAAGCGAACGCCGTTGAAGTCTTTCTTTAAAAAAATTCTTTACGAACTGGAGAATTTGCAGTTATAGCATTTGCATAGCATTTGTATATTGTCATACGTCATATAAAAAACAGAGCCAATCTTTCTTAATGCACCCCTGTTCATAATCATGAAATGCTTAATATTCACGTATCACAATTTGATTTCAGTAAATTGACATTTCACCACAAAAAGGAATCCTTTAATGGCATTTAGAAAGATATTAGATCACCGTAAAACAATCATAAAAAATTCTTAAGAACATGGCAGGATTGTTGGGTTAACTCCCCTAAACAATCAGCATTAGACGGACATTGACATTGCAGTATCTTAATAGATTCAGGTCAGAAATCGGCGATAGAGCTGACCTGTTAACAGAGGGTTGTTTGTCTTTGAACGAAACGAAACCATCAGCAAAGACATGAGATATCCAGTAGGTTATTGATTTAATTGACCATATTAGCATCACAATATTAGAACCTTGAATATTGATGTCACCTCAACTTCAATTCCTCTTAAAAACATTTCAACCGGGATGCACGATTTTCAAACGACTCAGGATTCTTTACTAGATGTTGTTGATGATGGCATAAAATGGCTAACGATATAGAAGAGATTACACATAATGTTTTCTTGACAAAAAAAAAAATCTAAGTTTATATCAACTCACGAATATGAAAAATAAAATACGAAATACTAACTTTTGGAGATATTTCTGTTTTATTTGGACATGTTTTACGTAAAACCACAAAGTTTCTTACTTTATTATCGATCGTTAATATAACACAACTTGTAAGTGAAACAATATATGTCCGACCGTTTTTTTGTGTGTAAAGTTTTCTTTAGTTATTAACCAAGTCGAAGGTTAGATTACATATAGCTATCGTGAACGTATGCAATAATTGGTAAAAGAATTCAAAAGACAATTTCATGCATCTGCAATTACGTACAGAAAAAAATACAGTTAATTTTTACCACCAATTTTGAGATAAAATTCTTAGAACAATTCCCACTCGATTGCAATATCAAAGAGCTTTTTTTCATTTGGCTTGAGGCAGAAAACTGACTTTTTATATTTGCCGAAGAATCCATTTTTCTTTCATCGCTAAACAACTTCGCAGTATAGTCGATGCAACAAGGCAGCATTGTCGTGATCGAGGGCATTCCCCGCCGTACATCCCGTAATTTGCGAATATTTTTCTTTCAACTTATTGGTTATACAAAACGATAAAAACAACAAAGCAATTTAACCAAAATCACGTTATGGTAGACAGATAACATGTTTATATAAACCAAGGGTAGTTTTTCGTCGTGCCTTGGATTTAGCAAATTGTCGGGAAAATATTGTTGTTGATAAATTTCTTCTATTCATTTGGCCCAATTTCGACACCCATGCTCCATGTTGCTGACAAGATGGGAAAGACTTGCAGGGTAGATTTAGCTCACAAACTTGAACAAGGTACATTGGTCTGTTCAATCCTTCAAATATTTGACATAGCAATTCGTTTGGGAATTTGAATGGCATTATTACAATCTACCATTGCAAAAATAGAGAATTTTTGGTAAATTTGAAATAGCTTTTGTCTAAATCTTGGTTATTAACTTTCATTATGCTTCATTTGTTGCTAACAATTATTTTAGATATGACCTCCAAACTTTTATTAAAATTTCCGAAATTAAACATCGATCTAAATCTTATTTCAATCCAAAAGGTGTTCCATTTAAATAAAGGGAGATTTATTCAAGATTGGGAAAATAATTATAAACGGAGGTGAAAATAAGCACAGTTTCAAGATTTCCTTATAATCTTTCAAGAGGATATATACAAGAAATATGTTGCCTACCGAGGGACAAAACCTGTTGCTTGCTGGATCATTTTTGAGCTCAGAGACAAAGAATAGCATGTCGCGGGTTGATAATCCAAGGGAGGTAACTGCTTCAAAAATTTTTATAATAAAAAATACAATATTTTTCCGATGTTTTTCGGAATTCACAGGGACCATTTCTTCGTTTCAGGCGTACTTGGTGGACGTTATTCCGAAGAGGTGCGAGATCCGGGAAAAATTATTAAATATTTGTACTTTGAAAATGTTGAGTTGTTAAAGACGGAATAAGACGTAACTGTAGCCCTGAAATTTTGTGCCATTTCTAGCATCTATATATACTTTGAGAATGTGACAGTAATACATCAATAATATTCAGTCAATATACAAAATCTGTACTCAAATTTTCTTTTTTCCATCTCAAATCATCAATTTTAAAAATGAAAAACAAACTAAAAATACGAGAGATATTACCGTCCGAATTGTACAAATTGAGTAAAAAGGGGTTCTTTAACTGGGACGCATCTTTTACAGTGCAACAACAATCGTCTAGTATGTGACTCTAATGTCATACCGTGTAACCGGAAATTTTGGCAAAACGAACTTTTTGCGGTTTGGGGGACAAAAATGTGCAACTTTTTTTCTGTTGATTTTAATTTTTGAAATTTAAAGCAAACTAAAAGGGAATCTGTACAGCTGTCTCTTTGATGTTTACCTACTTTATTCGTATGGGACAACAACGCATGACAAAGTAACAAGAAAGTACAATCCATCAACCGAAAATATAAACTTAGCCGCCAAAAAAGATTACAAAAAATAATAACAGACTAACTTTTTTTTTTTCTGTAAATATTTTAAAATCGACATCTTTGTTTGAAATGACTATTGAAACTGTATGAACCTGTACCTGTGAAATTACATACATATATCGAAAGTCTCGGTGAAAAGTGTAAGTGATAACTTGACAGATAGATGTAAATCATTAGAAAGTCAAAGTAACTTTAAGGTATAGAACTTATAATATGAATTTTGATATCTGCGATCATGTTGACAGTAAAAAAACGTGATAATTATATAACCACAAAAAATTACCGATTATACCGGTTGATCAAATTGATTGATGAAATTTTTTTAGAAAAAATACGAGACGTACTTTGAAATAACCCTGGTTTATCAACTTTCTGCTCAAACACTGGTGACTTTTTATAAAGTCTGAGTAGCAGCTGCAAGCTCTTGAATACCGAATGAGTTGGAAAATGTATTCAATATGCAGGTGAAGTTGGTATATTCCTGCTAATTTGGGGGAAAACTCAGCGATAAAACTTAAAAGAATACCTCGAAGAAATGTTTAGTAATAAAACTGGCAAACATACTTACCATGGCTAACAAAATCTGGATCCGCACATGATTCTACGTATGACTGGTTAAGTTCATCAAATAAACAGGAATAATGCTCCATTGAACTTTCTTTGCAAACATATTTAGATCGTATAACTCTCTGTAACATGTCTGGACAAGTCGCATTAAAGCCCAGGGTTACTGGTAAAACTATATATATCCATAGGAACTAGAAAAAAAGTTTGAAATTTTAAATAATGATGCATGACAAAAACAACTACTTCAATTTTAAATAAATTGCAGTTAGCAAATTCAAAATACAAATGAGACTAGGCCGTTGAACTATAAATAAAGTCCGCTTCATATCTTGACCAACATGAAGACATTGATGAGAGGTTAAGTTGAAACATAAATTCTAATATGACGTTCTTCAAACGCTTTTAGTAAACACCAGTGGCAAAATACAAATATATTGTATGTCGGCTGATCGTTAACGAATTTATATTGAGTTTACTACGGTATGTTCCTTTATGTCGATAGTTTATCCCTCACTATCGCTCGTGCTGAAATATTTAGCAAAAGGGGAAAAAGCCAACTCGTGGTAAAACCAATATCAATTCAAGCCCCCATGAATTATTTCTTAATTAGATGAGAATAGATATATCTTCATTTTCACTATTTTTGTTTACCTAAAAGAGTTTAGCTAGGTTCCATAATGTTTGGCCAATAGAATGATATTTCAGTTGATAAATTGAAAATTATTATTTAAATACTATATTAAAGGCCATCCAAAATAAAAAGAGGAACATCCAGGAATGTCCTCTTTGTGAAGTGAAATATAAAACAAATTCACGAATACATTAAAAGTGCAAATACATCAACCGTTTTCTAATTTTTGTAAACTGTTCTGATAAATTCAATGGTTAGAAGAAATTTCTTCCCTGCAAAAAACAACGAAATGACAAACTTTCGTAAACATATGAGAATAATCCACCTCAGACATTCCTTCTTTAAGACCGAAAAAGAATTAGTTCATGGAGAAGTCAGTTCCATTTGTAGAAATTTCTTCTAATATCTGATACAAAATATAGTACTAGAAGCAGTTAGTTCATTGGAAGAAAATTCTTCCATCAGACTCAGACCTGAAATGTAATATAGTACTAGAAGCAGTAAGTTCATTGTAAGGATTTATTCTATCAAACCTAAAATGACTTGTTAGCTCTTTGGAAGATATTTCTACTATCAGACATAGACATCAAATGAACTACTTGTGGTAGTTTTTTCTTTGTCAAAATTTCTTCTATCAAACCTTCAATGAAATATTTGAAGCAGTTAGCTATTTTCAAAGATTGGTTTTTTTATCAGATCTACATTTAAATCTAAAATAAAATACAAGGTCTGTTAGTTGGTTGGAAGAAAATTAATCTATCATATTTAGACCTAAAATAAAATATATGAAGCAGTATTGATTGTTTGGTTGTTGGTTGCTTAATGTCCTGTGGCAAATATTTCTTGCATGTTCAGGACGAGAACAAATTAACAACATTAACAATAGATATGACTTGTTATAGAGGCCTTCCGGGATGAAGTTCGGGGAGATTTGGACTGCCACTGGACAATGAGGGTATATTGGACAGACACAGGCATTTTGCCTTGCAACAAGCACCTACGGACTCACCAAAGAGTTGCTGCAAGGGTTTTTAACGTGCAGAGAGCGTTGCAGTTTCTAAACAAGGCAAGGTCGGATTTAAAGGCACAATTCTGACCGGAAGTTGCTGCTTATTTGTTCATTCCGCACAGCCAAATGGATGGCCCACTTCGGCGAGGGTTTTACCGCAGGTCGGAAGAAGACCAAAGTGACCATATTGCTATTATCTAGTCACACTTGGGGAAGTTAAATTCGAAGCCTTGTGTATGGAGACTGATGCGCTTTATGCATGTTAAGGAACCCCTACAACTACCCTTTTAGGGTTCATTTGTGGCCTATTTCAAGATAAAATGTCTGGCAAATCCAACATTACGTCTTTTTGCAGGAAAAGTCTAAATTCAATCCCTTTTCATCCATTTTCAGAACATATATAAAAATAAGGAGATGTGGAATGATTGCAAATGAGACAACAAAGTGCAAATGACGTTGATATTAACAATTAAAGGTCACCATACGACCTTCAACAATGAGAAACATTCATCATAGTCAGCTATTACATGAATATAATTTTACGTTTATTTGTTCTCCTGAATGCAAACAATTTTGGTTCTAGTTGTTAAGCAAACAACAATCTACAAACAATCTTAAAAAATTCTTTGCAGAGTATGTAGTGTGTTGTGGACTTCTTTTTCTTTTCGTCGTTCGTTTTCTACTATGGCGATGTCTGTTTCTCTTCCACGATTGAGTTTCGAATGTTCCCTTGAGATTTTGAAACTCTTCGGAGTGTGGTTTTTTCCGGCCATCCGTTTTAGCATGCGCAAATTTGCGTGATCAACATTATCACTTCGCGCAAATTTTCCAGGTTGAGGTGTCGGATTGCAACACGCTTATGCAATGGATGTTTTGAGAATTGGGGAACATTTTTCATATTTTGAAGATGTCCTGAAAAAAACCCACCAAAGCATAGTACGTCACATCCGGTTTCATGTTAAAGAGGGTCGCAAAAAATATGCCATTGAATTTGAGTTGTAGGAATTTAACCCTGCATTCCATTACAGAAAATATTCTAGAATCATAAACATATATCTTGGGTGTTTCAAAGCACTATTTTTTTTTATTTGGTGTTCAAATGCAATAGTTTGGAGATTTGAAGAGACATGGGGATGAAAAGTTGTTAGGTTTACTTCCGGTGATGATTTTTTTCTTATATGCATTTAAATGGTACGTGAAATGTTCACTGTAGTATTTGACAGGATAAAACTTTATATATGCCAAATATTTCTTTATTTGGAATAAATATAAATTCTGAAAAAATGACAATTTTATAAAAAACTACGATTGGGTAAACAATGGTGGTATAACTCCTTTAGGACAGAGGAATAAAGTGTGAAATAAAACTACAGTCGATTATTTACTCCATTAATTTGCCTATATCAAAGGAGGCAAAACGCATAAAAAAGATTCACAGGAAATGGACCAAAAAAAATCTATGCACATTCACAGAATGGTTTTGAACCCCCGCCCCCTCCTATTTTTATTATATTCTTTTTGATCAGTTTTCCTAATAAAAAAGTATTATTACGTTTTTGCTTTTATAAACACACTTACTTTAGTGAAATTTTGTAGTGTCGACCCTCTTCTTTTATTTTTAAATGTTCTAAAAATCATCAAACATTTAAATAAAAATGCTGGCAAAATCATAAATTGATCAAATTCATTGGGACCATACAGTGTACTTCAAGTGAACGATAAATTCGGAATATTTTCAATGAACCATTGGTGTTCGTTAAAGCCATACATTATGTTTAAAACTGCTTTTTCTTCTTTTAACCTTGTAAGACATGATTTATTGTTAGAACCTAAAAAAAAGAAGGGGAGAGACCTTTTTTGACGCCGTTCCCTTAAAAATAAATATAAATATCTGATGATGCTGTACATTATGAAGTAAATATATGAGGATTTCGATTTTTTCGTGCAAAAAGAAACTTTTTGACATAGGTTTTACCAAAAGACTTAAATTCAAAAGTGTGTTTGCTGTATATCAATCAATATTGTTAATATTCTTTTCCCTTATCTCTCTTGACTAGCTGCATATATATATATATATATATATGGCGTTTTTCAAAGAAGACATTCAGTTGGATATTGAAGTTAGAATGTGAGGAATTTATTACCATAGCAACATTCAATTCTACACAAAAGTCCTAAAGTCTGCTATCCTTGTCGATTACTATTTCAAATGAGAAAGTATAATATTATATGGTAATTCTGATTTCATTTTAGTTATTTTATTATAACTACTTTTAAGAACATTTTATTGTGAGCTAATGATTAGTAACGTCCTTCTGAGGAACGTGTAAAAAATTAAAGAGTTTCAGTTCTATTGCAGTGTTTGCATCGAAGGTAATATTAAGCCACTACGTTCTTTACGGGAATCCAACGTAGTTTCTATTACGTTTTGGTGGACGGTGACGACATAAGTATAACTACTAATAATTAAGGACGTACACCTCTGAGGAGCCAACAATTTCTAGAATTAAACTTTTTTCTTAACCAGATTTTGGGGTTTATATGACTGTAAGAAAGTTATTGATTAAGAAAAAAATATATGGTGTGCACTCCATTTTTTTTGCTACGGCCATTTGAAAGTATCCCATTTGTTATGATTTTCCCATTTTTCGTAAATTTTTACCCATTTTTGGACTATTATCATGAAAAAAATCACAGTTTTACAATTAAACTTTTTTTCATACTTTCACTAAAGATGAAGTGGACCAATCTGAATAAATTCAACTTCAAAAATATAGGTTGATGTTTTTATTAAAAAGTTTTTAAAAAAATTGTTGTTTTTTCGTGTCAAATTGACCATGCTGTCAATTTTGTCAATTTTGGATTTTTCTCTTTTTTTAGAACAAAAAGGATATTATTTCAACTTCTTTCCTATAAATGATTGAAAAAATACATATCTAAGAATTTTGAAACAAAAAACGAGACTGAAACATCAGAAGAATGCATCTTTAAACAAAGGTAGGAGAATTTAAACTAGATCCTAGATATAAAATGGTATAAAATCCTTTCAAATTTACAATTGTTTCGCACTGCAGTTTCAGAGGAAACGATTGCTTTCTAACAAACATGTTTTATTGTGTGCCTTTTTATTTTGTAATGTTACACCACTGTTTCAGGTTAGGGTGAAGGTTGGCGCCTGTTAAAACGTTTAAACCCGCTGCATTTTTATGCATCTGTCCTAAGTCAGGATCCTGTTGTTCAGTGGTTGTCGTTTGTTGGTGTGGTTCATAAGTGTTTCTCGTTTCTCGTTTTTTATATAGATTAGACCGTTGGTTTTCCTGTTTGAATTATTTTACACTAGTCATTTTGGGGCTCTTTATAGCTTGCTGTTCGGTGTGAGCCAAGGCTCCGTGTTGAAGGCCGTACTTTGTCCTATAAATGTTTACTTTTTACACATTGTGACTTGGATGGATAGTTGTCTCATTTGCACTCATACCACATCTTCTTATTTATATTAACCCCGCCATATTCTTTATGTGCCTGTCCCAAGTCAGGAACCTGAAGTTCAGTGG